GAGGGATTAAGACCATGAAAGTTGGAGGGGTTGAACGAACTTCTTCTGTACACAGAGATCTGGCTTTTCTGTTTCGATAGCCAAAGCTTCAGCAATACAGATGAGTCGGGTACGTAGGGATTTGGGTAGATTACTCTTTGCCTTGTAGATGACTTTGAAGGCGGAGGCTATAGAGATAGGGTAATCATTATCGACCAGATGTTCAATGATCGCGCTTCTTATTGCTCCACTACCACCTTTTCGTAACCATGCAGGATAGTGTTCTTGCACCCTCTTGGACAAAACTCGTGTCGAACGACCGATATACCTAGCTCCACAAGAGCAGGTGAATTGATAAACATACATAGAGTTGGTCAACAGCGGGATTTTGTCCTTCAGGTTATTGAACAATAATGGTCGACTAGAAAAGGCTATTCTCAGGGATGCAGCAGGGAATGTTCTTTTCAGGGATTGTGATATCCTCCGTTTCATGATATCGGAAGCTAAGTCCCCTTTGAATTCCAAGCTCATGTAAAGTGTCTTCTTGGGTACGGTTGATAACTCACGTTTTTTAGGATTTGAATGAATATTCTTATCTATAAAACGTGGTGGAAATCCATTTTCTATTAGGACTTTCCTCAAGATGTATAGCTCATCTTCCACAGTATCAAGGCTACATATGCGCCGAATACGAGTGGCAAGCGACCGGATCAGGTTTCGTTTTCGACCAATGGGTACCCAACTGTAGAAATTTGTCAGTTGACCATTCCATGACAGCTTGCGATAAATCGATCTTTTCAGGGTTCCATCGGTCCTTCTTGATAAGTTCACATCGAGGAACTGCATGCTAGACTCGTTCTCCATTTCGAGTGTACAGCTTGATGATAAATTCGTTGAAAAGAGTCTCTTCGCTGAATCATTTGTTTTGATTTTCTATATGTTACAATGGGAATTTTCCATGATTATCTCTTTTCTCAATATATGCCTCCACCTGTTTCATTTCACACATTCGTTATTTCATTATGAACCTCTCATTGCAGTCTTACTATCTCGTTTTTAATTCATACTACTTTGTACTAGACATTCACCTGACACCGTTTATAACCTTGAACTGACTTGTCAGTTTTTCCTACCCCACATTCTACAAATCTATTATAACTAATCGCCACTATTGTCTCCCATTTTACAATATTTTCAGCCTAGTATGTTTGTCACACAAATACGACTACTTATTTTGACACCCAATTGGATCGGGTTCCAGTGGCTCAATGGTCTACAAGCTCGCCTTGTAACCAGAAGGTCCTGGGTTCGAACCCCGGTGGGTGCGTACTGATGAAGAGTCCCAAATTAGGACGAAACAGCTGTCCAGTACTCCCAGGTTAGTCAGTGGTTCTCTAACTGATGTCAGCTGGTGATGAAATCCTCCATCCAATCACCGCATAACTAATATGTTATTCTACGTTAAGGGTATCCGCCGAATAACTGGCTATCATTATAGTAACGACAATAAATATTATACTTTATAATTGTAAGAAGCTGAAGAGAAGAAATTATTGAAAAGAATATTCTTCGTTCAGATTGACTTTTAATTCATGATATGTGAATATTTCGTACATTGAAGTGGCCAGGCTCGGCTCGGTAGCTTATCCATCACTTGCATTGGAATTATACAGCGAGTGGGGAATTCTAAACACAGTGTTTCGGCAAAAAATGTTTCAGCATTTCTCTCTATCTGTTCTGATCATGGAGACTTGAACAAATTCTTCTGGATATCCATTCTCATACAAATACGTTTTCTACTTTCCTGTTCTTGTGGACAAAGTTACATAGGTAGGTAGAACGATTTCTCAAGGCCACTACAGCCTTTTTAAGCATTGACCAATGTGTTTAGGTAAAGGAGTGGTGAAATCAATCAGCAATTCCATATTAATGGCATATATTGTGGATACGGATCACAAGATTGATAAAACTTTCTGTCAATACGAGTTGAAGATATGATCATAGATGTCTACGATCTCTTTCTCACGTTAGGTGGCATAATAAGGTAAGCAATGTTGACGTTAGGCGTAGAGTGTTGGGCAAAGAGGGAAAATCAACCGAAGAGGATATGAAGTTACATAGATTGAGATGGCTAGGTCACGTGCCGCACATGCCTAACCATCGCCTCCCCCACCCCGACGGGCATTACTAGCTGATGTAGGTGCAGGTTGGAAAAGACTAAGTGCTGGCCAAACAAAAACATGGCATCAATCCATGAAATCCTTGACAGTTAAACTGAGTCAGGTAGGGAGATGCAGACTTCCGGGTTGTGGCCCTCGGGACTCTAAGAATCAATGGCTGGAGACAATAGGTGACATGGCTCAAAATCGTTGTCAATGGCTTACGCAGATGTATTCAGTCTCATATTCCTTTCTACCATTACTCATTCTGTTTCACTCTTGTACTTGTCAAAACTCGATTTATTCTCTTCACTCATTTTCTTGTCTACCTTTGTGTGCTATTTGGAGCGTGGAAACTCGAACTGCTGCACTTCGGTGCCAAGTTCTATGTTGAATACAGCCAGCCAAACTTTCTGACTTTACAATTCTATACAAAGTAACACCTCAATTCCCAAAATTTGTACGCCTTCGATCGCTAAGCATAGCCCAAGCAGTCGGATGTGCACTTACTTACTTACTTTGCTTCGGCTATCTCCTACGGAAGGATGAGCCGGCTTCATGAACTTCTCAAATCATCGCTACCCAGGCGCAGCGATCTGATGAAGAGAGTTTACGAAGTTTCATGGGAATTTGGTACGAGTGATGTCCCCAGAACCACTCGGCCTTTTGTTTGAGAGTGCAGCTCTAGCCTTTACACAACCAAGTGTGACCTACAAGGCAGTAGGAGTGGAGTAGGGAGTCCACTATCCATTGGCAGCCGGTGACCGGAGTTCGGTTCATACGCCTTTTTGAATGGGGCCAGACATCCAGGACATCCAACAAGCCCTTTGTCCATACGTCTACCGGTGAGCTCCAGTGAGCTTCATACGCCAGTCGTTGGAGGTTTGGAATCAGGGTTTAGCCATCTCCCCTAGACTGTCATCCAATGGACAGTCAACCCGGTGAAGAGCGCCGGGCATCCGCTTTCGCCCTCCACCACGTGAAGGCAGTGAGTAGGACTTCCTCAGGAGAGGCTATGTAAGACGCCCGGTCATATGGGAGCATTTCAAGAGGTGTGCACCACCTCGAGTTGCCGCCACACTCCCTCCTCCATGTAGCACACAGAGGAAGAGAAGAGAGTGAAGAGAGGCTAGCACACTGACCACTCACTCAATTCGTAATATATCTCCACCACCAACCAATGCAATTAGTGAGTATCCATGAATCACCCTGACATGGAGTGAGGGCTCCTGCAGTGACAACTTCTCATTATTAGGATTATATTACATCATTCCATTGGGTTCCGACATCTTCGTTTCACTCAGTACTCTGCATTCCTCATCAGCTGGCCCCATCATTGTGCATCAGCTCTCATCTCCATCACACACACATACACACACAAAGAAACAACCAACTTCCATACCACCACAGGACCCAAAACCCAACTGTTGATTTCTCTTTTAGGATCCACTCGACGGCCTGTTCAATCCGTCTGTTTTGGGATAAACCACATCCAGAAAAGACAGATTATTTATTTTGATTACAGCTTGATGCCACACCGTATTTTCAGTACAAGTATGGAATTTTCAGCATGGATATCGGTAGCCCAAATTTACAGGCCGACCATAGATATCGGGTGTGCGTGTGTACCAAAGAAAGCCATCTTTATTAACCTACCATTCAAGGGTGATCAGATTATGCAGTTGACAGCTCAAAGACTCCGGTCAGCCATCAAACGCACATTCTACGCCGCATCTCTTTTCCTCACTTGCCGAACATTTTCAATCCCTGTACCTACGATTAAAGGACGAAATTCTGTGGACTCTACTTCAAACTGTATCTACAAGTTCACCTGCAGCTGTGGTGACACCTATAGGGTAGAACTAACAGAATGTTCCAATGTCGCCGAAAGGAACATGTTCCAAAATGGTCACTAAATCATATAGAAAATCCCAATGCAATTATTAATTTGAATAGAAATCCATCATCATCCACTGCAAATCACTTATTAATGTCAGGTGACAAAATCAATATTAATTAATGACTGTTTCACAATTATTTCATCACATAACTCTAATTCAAGGTTACTGAAGGTGATGGAAGCCCTTTGAATTAATCACATGCAGCCTAAACTATGTGTACAGTCAAAACAATGGACTTCAACCTTCGTCTACCATGAAGTGACTACTTGATCTATTTAATTAAATATGATTGGTCATTAGATAGTACTTTTGTTTTTTTATATAACTAAGTCATGCCCTTTATTTTATTTTATCATTGTTAACCATGTTAGTTGTAAAACGGTTGTAAAGAAACTACGAAATGACGATATCACCTCGCGAAATTTGTCTTTGAAATGCCTTATTCAAATTTATCAAAGGGACTAATTGTTTTAATTCCCCAAATATATTGGGCTACTGGTTATTGCGTGGTTCGCTGCCAGAGTCCCCCCTCCTTGTTGCTTATCTTTTCTAAACGACTGTCTGATTACCTTCAGTAATGAGACAAAGTAGGTAAATGTCGATAAGAGTCTACAGTAGCTTGTCGGGAATGCTTTTCATGACGCATGCGCCGAGTCTCTGAACCACATAAGTAAACATTAATTGGACATGATTATTGAAAATTAAGATCGTGCTAAGTATGTTGAGCACAGTACATTTCCACCTTGATTTCAAACAGTATTGAAGGTTTGTCTTACTTTTCCTCGCCCAGCTTACTGGCCAGTCGTAGGTTCAGAAAAGGAGGGAAGGTTGGGTTAGGTGTCAGATGAGCTACCCAACCCCAGAAAATTATTCGAATCTCTCTGTAGGGATTGTGACCAACACTCTGGTGACGAGAAAACGAGGAAAAGTAAAAAAAAACATCATAAATAAACATGCTTACCCAGCGACTCTAATGAAACACCATCTCCTTGGATAACTCGAATACATGAGGGTAGAACTTTATAACCTTTCGAATTGATTGTATATCCAAATTGTTTGCCTAATATATTTAACACTTTTGAAATTACTTCACGTGGATCACCAGAATCTGGTCGAATGATTACAGTACCATTACGATTCATGACCTGATGAAAGGAGAAGAGAAAAGAACAAACATATATACATATGGAATGAACATTTACAGATAACCCTACAAATCTCAACAGAGATCATAGTAAAATAAAGTCATTTGTCTAAGTCTGAAGAAAATTCACCTCTGACGTCCAAATTGTGAAGTAATGAAATTCTCAACCAAAGTACAGCGTTTTAGCAGAAGCAGGTAGACTGCACACTAGCGTTTATAAAAATCCAACACATTCTAATAGATATTTAGATTTTAATTCATCTCATCAACTAACTGCTAAGGCAGACTTAGTTAAGTGTCTAACAAACTGAGCAGAAGCACTAAGTAATGAGACAAAAAACCTAAATGATGAAATAAAACAGATAGAAAAATAGCTTGGTTGGTGTTTAATAACTATCCTATAAAATTCATTAGGAAGATCAGAAAAGGCCAGAAGAGATATAAAATTAATGGTGAAACTAATAATCACAACATAAATAAGAAAGAATATAAGTCATCTACTATTATACCATAAAATGAGGTGACATCTGAAGCCCTATGTAGGATTCTCAATAAAGTAGGAATTAGGATGGCATTCAAACCTACAAACTCACTCAGATTGGAGAAGCCCTGTACGCTAAAGGACACTGTCGGTATACCCAATCAGACAAAATATTATAATTTACAAAATACCCTGCAATGACAGTGAGTTTTGTCAACTACACAAGTGAAACAAGTAGACTGGGAGTAGACAGATTGTCAGAACATAAGAATTTAGCTAAGGTAAGAGTGATTGACCCCACGAAGATATGGAATTTAGAAAAAAGCTCAGCGATTGCACTGCATGCATTAACACACAACTGCACAATAGGGAGTCTGGGACAGAGTCAAAATTCTGAAAAGTAATGTAGGTATGAAGAGATAGAGGGAGATTGATAACTGAATCCTGCCTGGTTCATTGAGTCTACACCGAACGCGTGCGATAGGAATGACTCTTCACTCATACCGGAAGTATGGAAAATACTACTACTACTACCACTCAAATCAAGCGATGAAAAATAATGGAATTATATAAACGAAGTTAGAAAGTTGTGTGGGTAGTGCCTTGATATGATTATGAGCAGTAGTAAATTGTGTTCGAAACGTGGTCATCAGTAAATATTAACTGTATAACACTGTGGGACATCATCAAAATAAAGTTTACCCAAAATGGAATCATATTAGCACCTTTGATCGATTCACTCAAAGCAAGATTGGATGCCGACTGTAACAGTAAATAGTAAGGATTTATATAGACTTAAAACCTGGCAAGGAACGAGACGCATTCAATATCTTACTGATTAAGTTCCACGTCCAATTTAACAATATGCCTAACCCCATTATTATTATTACATCATATTATTATGATTCTTCCCTTGGGTTCTGGGTGGAACATAGGGCTTCAACAACACACTTCAACTTTGTTCCATTTTCAACTGTCCTCTTCAGCCGGACCCACAACTACCCATAATCTCTATGTTTCACTCAGAACCTAAGTCAACAATAATAAAAATAGTAAATTCTACCAGTCAAGTTTTCAAAATGTTCATGATACATCGTCGCAGTGCACTGTGATTTCATGTTATATGATTGAAAGTAATCAACTAGTAAGCCTGTCTAATCTATGTTTTGTACTTGCTGGCACTCGTGGGCAAGAGGTGTATTTACAACCTCGAAGGAACTGATCGATTTTAGGAGAATGGAGCCTACATCACCAAGTGAGGCAGTCAATAATGTTGCCACTAAGGTGTATGGACTAACAATTAATTTTCTGTCAGAGTAACCGTATCTTTGACTGCAAAACTTGGTGACGAATATTAGAATTTGACAAATGTCAACAAGCAAAATAAAGGATTCATCGTTTCCTGTTGACTACAGTCAACGGTCTAACATTTAACTAACTCCAAATCATAAGAAAAATTCACATTTTAAAGAATCTAATTGAATTTTAGATTTTCCCGGCGATTGATTGGACCGAAGTGCTCGGGCTCAGGTTGACATATCGCCTTCTTGTGCAGATGCTTCCACGATGTCTGGGCATTTAATTAGAATTTAATTGGTGGATGGTGACTAGCAGTGGAATCCAGGATGCGCATTTCGTCCTATTTGGGACTCGTGGCCCAAGTGGTCTAGTGGATATCGCTTTGGCGTTTGAATCTATGGGCACTGGGTTCGGGCCTCGGTGGGAACATCATCATCAATCACTGCGGAATTGAGGCACACCCAGATGACGAGTCCCAAATAAGACGAAATGCGCATCCTAGATTCCACTGCTAGTCACCATCCACCAATTAACCTCTAAGAATGTTTCCTGGTAACACGTCAATCCCTAAGTCGACAAAGTAAGTTAGCGTCAATTCTATTAGTACATCGATGATATCATTTAAGAAAAATGAAGACAGTGGGCATCCCTGACGGATACATCACAACTGGTTGTCATCACTTCAGATGACAGAAAGCAAACAAAATAAACGACGCTATCAAAATTAACATTACGCAGAAAGAGTGCATAAAAAATATTGATTTTTAATCACTGCAACGCAAATAAATATCAAGAGAAGAAATTAATGATTATAATTCATTTAGCTAGTTGCGTAACCAGTGCAAATCAAGCCTAAATAATAATCAATGTAGGCGAGTACAACAAAGTCTGATGAAGACATTACAGCTACATGTTATATAATGTGTTTTAGGCCATTCATTATCCAGTTGAACTATTAGATGGTTTATTATTATTTTATTCCTTTATGTTCCGGGTGGAACATGCGGTTTCAAGATAGAGCTTTGAAGTTTCAACTTCATTAAAGATACACTTTTATTTTGATAAAATCACACAGTGTTCGTTATACAGTTATATTTAGTGATGACAACGTTTCGAGCACAAATTATTGCTGCTCATGATCATATCAAGGCACTCACTCACACAACTGTCTTGCTTCATTTATATACATGAGTAAAAATTGATGATTAGACATTTGAATAAAGTCAGTAATATAAGATCAAGTACAATCAAATACAATCAGATGGGAAATAAGATGTTTTTATAGAAAAATAAATAAATAGGTACCTTGTTAGAATGTTATAATGTATGTGCATTGAAATATTGTTTTAAGATGATTTATTATCCTCCTCTCGTTTGACTGGTGGTAATAATATCTTCCATATCTCTGGTGTTAGCGTTGGGTCACTTCTATTGCATGTGTTGGCTGTAGATTACTCGATGAATAAGGATTCAGTAATCCACCTCTATCTCTCTCCACCTACCTAGATTACTTTATAGAATTTTGACTCTGTCCCACACACCCTATTGTGTGGTTGTGTTAATGCATGCAGTGCGATTGCTGAGTTCTTTTCTAAATTACTTATCTTTGTGGAATCAGTCATTCTAACCTTAGCTAAATTCTTATGTTCTCATAATCTCACTTCTCCCGATCTACTAGTTTGACTGACCTATGTAGTTGACCTCACAGTCATTGCAGGGTATTTTGTAAATTATATTATTTTGTCTAATTGGATCAACCAACAGGGTCCTTTAACCTACAGAGTTTGTCCTTACTGAGCGAGTTTGTAGATCTGAATGCCAACCTAATTCCTGCTTTATTAAGAATCCTACGTGGGGAGGGTCTCAGATGTCCCCTCCTTATATGGTATAACAGTGGATGCCTTATATTCTCTTTTATTTATGTTATCATTATTGGTTTCATCATTATTTCTATTTTGTTTCAGTAGTTTCAGTAGCAGTAGTTTTAATTTTTATGCCGTCGGGTTGCTAACCCTACATCTAACTTTCCTTCTTTGTTGGGCTTACAGCCGCTTAGGGGAGGTGAACGTGTGCATCGACTGGGAATCGAACCGCGGACAATATGCATGGTTGGCGAGCATTCTACCGCTGAACCACCGACGCATTAGATGATGATTATGGTTCAGTTATTAATAGTATGAAATTATATTACAAACTTGGTATCATTATACATATACATATATATATATATATCTTTAGAATGCCACAGATTCCTGTTGAAACCAAGCTTTGTCATCCCATATTAGTTAATATTAAAGTGACACCACAGCTAAGATTCTAGAGAACTGCTTATCCAGATCACATTGAGAAAAGCCTCCTTTTCGGCTGAGCTACGGATCAATTTCCATAGTCGAAAAATGATCCATTGATACGTGAAGGATAAACTGCTATCTTGGGACATTTTAGTATGTATTTATAAATTCATTTGCCCCAGTGGAGTTAGTTATATTTACCGCACAAAGTGCACCCTTTCCAAACGCACCACTGAACATTATCCGGTATGGTTACGAAGGGGACAATGCAAGATAACTACTAGCTCAATTATGGAGTACTTGGTGAACTTATACCACGCAGCTCCACCAGAGTCATCTTTTAAGATTATCTACAAGGTGAAATCAAATGGCACAAAAAGCGTTAGGTTTCGGGATTTGTGTATGGCGGGGAGCTGGTGATACGCCAATACAGTACCGAATTCTGTATACAGGAAAGGTTGGTCCAGTCCCTTCAACCGGATCATACATGTATCCCAATACATTTTCCAATATAATTTTCACATGCCTTTGATAGCTGTTTGTATTATAATGGATTCATGGATTTATAACTGTAGAGGCTGAGGAAGAATTTATCGAAAAAATTGTTCGCTCCAAACCATCTTATCTATCACCTAGAATAGTAATCAGAGGACGGCTATCTGTGTGGGGTGCGTACAATCAACCACAAAGTAATAAAAGTATACAGACTTGCTGATTGGTTTATAGCTACCAACCTTATCTAGGACTCTGAGCTCCCATAAGTCAGGTAATTAAAGTTTTCAGATCGACGATGCACAAACATCACTTAGAGAGCTAATGGAAACCGAGGGATTACTGGATAGACGTTTCGTCCTTACATGGGACTCTTCATCGGTATGCACCCATAGGCCGACCAATATGGATCGCACCCAGCACCTTCAGGTTGCGATGTAAGCTCATATACCATTTAGAACCGATGGCCTGCTATTGGATTCCGTCCCAGTGTGGTTGCATCGTAGCCTAACCGACTGGTTTCAGCGCAGAACTGCACAGATGTGCACCACTTAGAGTTGTTACACTCCCTCCATGTAGCCCACAAAGCATGAGAAGAGAGTAAAGAGAGATTCAAAAGATAATGAATAGAAGTGTGAGTGAGGGAAAAGAATAGTACCATATGGAGAAACAATAGACTTTTATCGAATATGACAAGTTACAAAGAGCGAATGTGTCTGCACCACTGACAACTATTTCGAATCGCATTGTCTGCAGCTACCACTGGTTCTTACTATCCCGAGGACCCCAACCAGCCAACCAAGCAGTCTACATCTCCCTGCGTGGCTTGCTTAAACCAACTGTTGTGGATTTCATTGACTAATCAAGCCATGTTTTAGTTTGACCACCACTGGCTCTTTACCAACCTCATCAATACTATGCCAGCTAACACTACTTGTCGACCAAAGCGATGACTAGGCATGTGTAACATATGTCCCAACCATCTCGGTCGATGCAGTTTCTTCAAAACCTTGTCCATGGACCTCCACTCCTTACCTAGCACTCAACCAAAGCTTCACCTCAATATTACTTACCCTATTATACCATCTAACCTAACATGGGAGATAGAACGCAGACAACTATGATCAAAGACAACTAGCCGGCATTTTCATGTCTTCCACTTTCAATGGCCATTTTTCGCTGACAGCCATTAAGGAGGACAGAGCGAAATGTTGACCAGTACACAAGCTCTTTGGTCGACAGCCGAATATCAAATCTACGCCGTATTACGTCTACGTCTACGCATCATAACCTGAATATCCTAGGTCCGATCCCTATTAGTGCGGTGTCATGGGTGGGTACTAATAAAAAGTTCCAAATAAGGACGAAGCACCCATCCAGAACTGCCTGATTGTTTTCTGTGGTTCTCCAAATGATGTCACTTCATGATCAATCCTTAGGATAAATCAAATCGTTGCAAACTAACACTCAAAAATTTCGGGGTTGTTTTAGAACACAACCAACCCTGCCCCGTACCCATACCTCAGAAGTTCACATTGTAATCAATCCCATACAAATTTACACAAGCTAACCAGTAGCTTATTTTGAATAACACGCATTTTATCATTCCGTGGTACTCGATAAGCGAACATTCCGTTGGATTACAATAAACAATTCCTGTTTCACATGACAATCTACTTGTTATATGAAGAAAAAAACTTGACTGATACAAGTCAGCAGTTGATTTGCCTACCCCACTCTAGAATATACCTATTTTATATAGAACTCTAAAAAAATAGCGTCCTTTTTTTAAAAAGTTGACAGCATTAATCAATAATGACAAAGAGCATTCCGCATACTTTCATACAAGAACATACTAATCTATCAAATCTGTCTGATTGCATACAAAAACTTTAAATAATCCCGACACGTATTTTATTTGTCTTACTTATGTATTACTGTGTTAAAACTGTAAAAAATGAGCAATAAATCCTGTTGTTTGGTTTCAATGATGATGAGCAATAGATATCCAGTATGGGGTTTTTTATCCTATCCGGGGCTCATCAACTGAAATTGTTTGTATCCCTAGTGAGTGAAATTTTTCACAAATGAACTCAAAACCCCAGCAACGTTAATCGTTTTAAAAGCCAATGCGTTATGCACTGGGTGGTGAATTTGAATCTTGGGAGGGAACATCATCTTTCACCTACTGGGAATGAAGGTACTACATTCAGCAAACTGACGTGTCAGAAAGACTGATTGACTGGTTTCAACATAGAAATTTGCACACATGTGCAGCAGTTCAAGTCACCACACCACTTAGCACACAAAGAAAGAGAAGAAAGTAAAAAGAGATTCAAAAGAGATATAATACACTGAGATATGAGGTCAAAAGAATAGTAATATGGAAGAACAAAACAGTTTTACCGGATATTATAAATCACAAGAAGCGAATGCATCCGCACCATCCATTGACAACAAGCATTTTGAGCTACATCACCAATTGTCTCCAGACGCCATTGGTTTTTACCGTCCTGTTGCGGATTTCATTGATGAAGGCATGTTTTAGTTTGACTACCACTGGCTCTTTTCCAGACTCATTGATCGATGGCTAGGCATGCGTAACACATGCCCCAACCATCTCAATCGATGCAGCTGCTTCACAACGTCGTCGATTGATTTTCCCTACTTACCCTGCACTCGAACGATGCCTCACCTTAATATTGCTCACCCTATTATACCACCTAACCTAACACCGGAGATAGAACGAAGACACCTATTGTCAAAGACAGCTGGGCGGCCTTTTCATGTTTTCCACTTTCAATGGTTAGGTCTCGCTCATAACCATAAAGGAGGACGGGGCGGACTGCTGAGCAGTACACACACCCTTTGGTCGATAGCCAGCCGGATATTACGTCTACTAAGCCAAAGACGGCGTAAACTGGCATATACTAGACGAGCCTTCTGTACCCGTGATGAGACTTCGTCAGCGATCAACCCGTTGGTGTTGGGGCTGATGCAACTTCCCAAATAAGTGAAGTGTTCAGAAAGTGTCGAAAAGAACGAAAAATGCATCATAGAGATTCCACTGTTAGCCAACATCAACCAAATAAAATCTTGTCAAAATTAAGGCACCAGCCAAAGAGCTCGTGCTAAAACCTGGCTTATCAGGGGACACTGAGCATTTCAAACCAATAAGCTTAACCTAATGGGACATTCGAAAAAATTTGCTTTAAAGCAATATGAAAAAACCGTTATGTATGAGGAAGTCAGATCCATATTCTTTCTATGTGTATGCAATCATAAGTGGAAGAGGACTCGAATTAACTGATGAAAAGTCTAATGATAATGGGAACCCAATTGTTGAACTTCCGTCACAAACCAACATTAGTTAGAGGGATTATTGAAAATCAAAGAGCACAGGCGCTAGTTTTGGGACTCTTCAACAGTGCGCACCACCCACAACCCCGGCAGTCAGATAGAACCTGGGACTATCAGGTTACGAGACTAAACTCGCTGATCATTGGGCCATTTGGACAGGAATTCAACAACCCGTGAATTCTAATTTTTTACCTAAGATGTCCTGAAGCTGTAGTGATAAGTCGTGATCGGTGAAGTTCACCATGTCAAGGTGAAGCGGATAGTAATCAAAGGAGATGGTTGAAGGTAGAACTATATTGCCAATTGACAGAGTTACAATTCATGCGTCACTGAATGTCACCTAGGTGGCTGAATGGTCAACGAGTCTGGTCTTGTAACCTGATGATTCATGGTTGCATCCCTCTGACAGATGAAATTAGTTCGAACCCTCACAAATCCCATAATGCAAATTAGAACTCAGTTACCCAGAAGAGATTTTCACCGACCAGACTGTGAGTCTTAAGCTTGAAAGTTTTTAATAGCAGTGATGTGGGAGGTCGCTAACCTGACGCCCAATCCACCGTATTACCGACTATGCGAGTGCATCGGCGAGAAGTCAAGGCTGAACCATATGCTTAAGCTAAATGAGCTAAATCTCTATTATATAAGATAACCAAAATATACACTTTCTTCAGTATTCAGAAGATGGCACTGGACAATTATTTCATCTTATCTTCGGACTCTTCATCAACACCTATCAACGACCACACTGCCAGGGATTGAAACCACAACCATTATCGTGCTGTAATGCGAGGTGACAGAAGTTGAAATCAACAGGCTATTGTTGAATTCCAAGTTGGTGGCTAAATGGCCAAGGGGGATCGCCTTGTAACTCCTAAAGTCCTGAGCTCGATTCCTGCTTGGCAGAGTCTTCCGTATGTACTGCTGAAGAGACGTAGACTGCGACAAAACCGATGTTCCCCGGCTTTCAACAATTTTTTGAAGGAACATGTTTATGCGTGTATTTAAGCAAAACTCTCACTCACTTACTCACTCACCTTATCACGTAATGTTTCACCCCATATTTTACTGCATGCATTCCATATATCATAACTATCTGATACACAGGCAAATGTTCCTGAGGGATATAAGTGGAATAGATTTGAATAGGCATTCGTCTCGTTCTCTTCACCCCATACAGTCATGGCACTAGAGTTTGAATAAAAAGAAACAATAGAGATGAGAGAGAGAGTAAAGGGGTAATATAGACAGGTAAACTGACTACTTGAGAAAGTAGGGTTTATAATTACTTTTATTAAATATGAACGAATTCTACAACAGTAAAGGTGTTTACTGATAGCTGTATATCAGGCTTTTAATCGAAGCTCAGTTTTAATAGGGTTGTTAGGACTTAGTTTAACTGCAACATATATTTCAGCATGTACACATCTGTGAGCCATACACGCTCATTCCCTTGAGTTTCGAGTGGAACATAGGGCTGGCTTCAACAACACATATCCACTTTGTCCTATTTTCTGTTATCCTCTTCGGCTGACTACACGGTTGCCCATAATCTCTCCTCTCCTTCATATCACCCTCACGCTGACGACCCACTTGTTGCTTCCCATTCGGATTCCAATCGAGCAATAGCATGCATTGAGGGCAATGCCATTCGACGATCGCTTCAATGTAAGCCCGATTAATCCATCTCCATTTTCTCCTACATATTTGTTGAGCGATCAGCTCTTGCTTGTTGGTTTGTTCCCAGCCCGAGTTTCTTGTTATTAATTCTTTCTGGCCATTTGATCTTTAGTAAGGAGCCACCTAAGTGGGCAGCCGTTGATAAAAGTGTGCAACCTGTTGGAAATCCTTTCCGTGAAACACAGTGCAAGTGTCTGACCCATATAGAAGAACCGACTGACTGACTTCACATTTGTGTTGAAAATCGGAATCTTGTTCTTTATTCAGGCTGAGACGGAGTGCAGAAGATTTCCTAACTGGTTTCAGGTCGATGAAGGCGAATCTTGTCTTTCCGATTCTACCTGGTTAGCTTTGATATCTCCATCTGTGCCGTGTGCCTGTGATTGAAACTGTTCTTCCTGGCCAGGTAAGTGAAAGAAGTAAGCTTTGTTCAATCTCTCCAGATGATGGTGATTGGTGCTCGTTATTGTCATTCTTGTTGCTGTTCGTTGGTTACCTTCATCACCTCCGTCTTCTCTATGTTCACCTGGAGTCCTGTCTCCGTCGGCAGCCTGCTTCTTCAGCTAGTTTTTTTAGTTTTCGCCTGCAAGTTTTCGAGTTTGTGTGACATTAGACATAAATCATCCACATGCGAAATCCAGGTCTTCTAGAATTTTCTTATTGGTGATCCCGCGTATTCCTGTTCCCTCGCTCCCAACTTACAGTCTGACACATAATCCAGTCCACCACAATTAAGAATATCATCGGTGATAATAGGCAGCCAGCCTTTGTCTTACTCCTGTATTGACTTCGAACACCTCGCTGAGTTTCCCATTGTAGATCACCTGACACGTGGTGATCATGAATGAGGTGTAGGAAGTTTGGTGATACCACCTAACTGACCAAACTAGAGTAGATGGAGAGGAATTCAGGTCTAGGACTATTCATACCATCTCCACTTTAATTCACCTCACGAAGTCAGCATTCGATAGATGCCCTATTTTTCAGCAAAGCACATCTAAGGCAGTTTCCATAAAACAATATTTCAACACAATCTCTGTGTTCAGAAAATGTTTGTTCAATCCTTTTCCTTCCCATGACCTTCAACCCCAAACCTAGAATAGTTATCTCTCCGAGTGACACCGGATAACTGTACTGTTGACATTATCATTAATATCATACTATACTATAGTTGCATATTTTAATCTTAGTTTCGTAATTTATAACTACATTATGCAATCGCTAAGTGACAATAGTTATTCCCCTCTCACCACCACCTACTATTACGACATTCTACTTGTTTCAAGTTTGACTGCGAACTGATATCAGCTAGAGAATCATTGAAAAGCAACTAGGGAGTACTCAATATTCGGCTGTATCATGCTAGTTTCGGACGTTAGTTTCAAATATTAGTGATTTCTTACCCCATACAATATGTATATATATATATATTCAGGTGTAGAAACTAACTTTAATCCCACACATTATTCATTATTAAGCTTATCTCTCATGAAACATAATGCCGATACGTGGACCCAACTGGGTGAATGATCGAACGAGCTGATTTCGTAGCCTGAAAGTGCCATGTCCGATTCCCGATAGGGACGTGGGTGCGTACTGTTGAGGACTCCCAAAATTAGGGCGAAAACTGCCGCCCCCCCCGGTGCTCCCTGGTTTTCAATGACCCTCCAACTGATTCCAATTTGTTCGGGAATCAACTATCAGTCTTATCAGATAATCTAATTTATGCATTTTAGTAGAACTATCACACCTTCCTTCTGGAGTTATCAGTTTTTGGGGCACTAAATTAAATCACTTAGACTCACTTAGTGACGGTTTCGTTTGACGCTTTAGGTAAGCAGTAAAATTTTAAGTTTACCCTAATAATAATCGAATATTTTTAAGTCAGTTTCGATTTTTCCCTTCATTGGTTGGACCGAAATCTTCAGCGTCAGTTAACATGTCCCTGCACAAGAGGTGGCTCTCGTGGCCTAAATGGTCCAGTGGGTAATGTTCTGGAGTTTGAGATAATAGGTACTGGGTTTGAATCCTATTGGGAAACCTATCACTCATTGGGGAGTGCAGGTACGTCTGATTGACGAGTCCCAAACGGGAAAAAGAAGCTCATCCTGGATTCCGTTGACAGTAAGCATTCACCGAATAACGAAATATTTAATTGGTTGAAGTATTTCATCATGAGCTGACATCAGTCAAAGTACCATTAGAAAACCTGGGAGTACTGAACAGACGTTTTTGCTACTTTGGGACTCTTCATCAGTACGCACCCACCGCCTGGGTTCGAACCCAGGACCTTCTAGTTACAAGGCGAGCTCGTAAACCATTACGCCATTGGGACTCAATCTAATGGCCATCCCATGAATTCTAACTTCTGCCGATTAATGACATAGAGCGACCACTGCGGGTTCACCGGCTTGATGGTCTACGAGCTCGCCTCGTAACCAGAAGGTCTGGGTTCGAACCCTGGCGGTGAGTGCGCATTGATGAAGTGTCCCAGACTAAAACGAAACAGCTATCCATTACTCCCAGTTGGTTTTCTAACTGATGTCAGCTCATGATGAAGTCCACCAATCCAACCAGAAAAAAAGAATTTTAATCTCGTGATACAACATACTACTGATAGATGCGAGTAGTTTCAAACTACTCACATCAATCAGCAGCGCTTCCCCTGATATGGTTAAAGCTATCCAAACATGGAGCAGTCAGGAGAGGCAATAAATTCCGTTGAGAGGTTAAGAAGCGTGAATCAATACGCACCGATGACAACGATTTTGAGTCTTACATACCAGCAATAGTCTCCAGCCGCCATTGGATCTTAGCATCCCACCAACCTCAATCAGGCTCAAAGATTTGTGGTGGTGTGATACAGACAATGTGCGCCAAACGGAATATTATTCTCACATACATATTCCCACAGTTCAACATTGCATTAGCAACAGAATACTATATGTATATGTATTTGAACATTCTATTTCATGTCCTTTAATGTAAACCAAAATCACACGCTCAGTGATTGGTTAATAAATATAGACAGCGGTTTGATCAATCGAAATGATATTCGTAATTGTGGTGGACTGGATCATGCGTCAGACAGTGGGAAACGGGAAGACAGGGATATCCTGGACCGATGTGAAGAATCCAGAAGAACTGGATTTCGCGGATGATTCATGTTTGATGTCACACAAAATCGAAGACTTACAAGCGAAAACCGAAAAACTGGTCGAAGAAGCAGCAAAGACAGGACTCCAAGTGAACATAGACAAGACGGAGGTTATGAAAATAACCAACCAACAACAAAAGCAAGAACAGCAGCAACATCCACCGCCAATCACAACCAACGGAAGGAATTTGAAAGAGGTTACTTCTTTCACTTATCTAGAGAGCATTGTCTCAACTAAAGGCAGGTGGAACGGACGAGGATGCCAAATCGAGAATCGAGAAGGCGAGAAACACATTCATCAACCTGAAACCAATCTGGAAATCTTCGTCACTCCTCAACATCAACAACAAAATTCGGATTTTCAATACAAACGTCAAGTCAGTCAGTTCTTCTATACGGATGGATCAGAAACTTGACGGCGGGTCACAAAGAATATTTCCAACAGCCTGTTGCAGACCTTTATCAACATCTGTCTTCGTTCTGTACTCAAGATTAGATGGCCGGAAGGAATCACCGACAAGAAACTATGGGGACAAACAAAACAAGAAGCAATCGCTCAACAAATATGCAGGAGAAAGTAGAGGTGGATTGGACACTCACTGAGGAGGCCGCTCGGTGACATCGCGCGTCAGGCCCTCTAGTGGGACGTTAAAGGGTGATATCGAGGAGATTGTGTGAAGAGGAGTTGAAGCAGTATGGACTAAAATGGATGCAGGTGAAAAGTACAGCAGAAGACAGAAGCAAGTGGAGACGTGCAATTGAAGCCCTATGTTCCACTAGGAACCCGAGGGAACAATACTATAATAATAGTAATAATAATGATGATCAATGGAAAATATACTTTGGCTTCCGTGTCTTACCTTCTGTTGTTACAGTCTTGATAGACCGATGCCAGGTTATCTATCGTATGAATAACCACCCTCCTACTCACTTCCAAGCTAATTCTATATCAGGTAGCATTGCTTGTCGAGGAAGGCACTGATGATGATGGTTCAGCATACAGCTCAACAACCTTTATCGATTAATCTACCCTTACTACGCCCAACTTCAATATTAATGAGTATATATGTATATATAGTACTACCCAATAACATATAATTATTTTTATTCTACTTTCTTGTTATAATTACAAGTTTGATTTTTTTTGTGAGGCGTATTTGAAATAGGGAGCAAAATTAATAAGTCATTCTCAATTTTTCTGAATATACTACTATTATTGCTACAAGTAGTGAAGTGAACAGGAATATGTAGGGCAGAAGCAATGTCCCTCTTTATCTGTCTCACACACACACCCACACCCACATACCTTACATTGATTTCACTATATGCGAAATACTAATGATACTAATGTCCCTATATCTTTCTTACTTCTCTTTGAATTTCTTCTTAGTTGCCTTTTTCAATGAACCTAGACAAAAATTGCTATTGCTCCTCCAGAAACCTTACTGTATATACTACTTATTTCCACTTATAAGCATCATCTATATAAGTACAGCGAAAGAATCGGAAAAGCAAAATATAGACCCTCATTACTTTGAAATCAGTGTGGAAATAAATATCTACTTCACTTAGTATATGGAGCAAAACCGGAATTCTTAACATTAATGTCGACTCAGTGTTTCTATATGGCTCAGGGACTTGGTGAATGCGTCACGGAATGCAGTTTGAATAGGCCTATGGAGGATTTTCATTGACGTCTGCCACGATACTGAAGACTAAACTGGCCACGAAGGGAGAAGCAACAAGGAATTCTGGTAACGAACCAACCAAAAACCGATTGAGACCGGTGAGTGATGTTACACACTAGACTAGCCCCTCGAATGGGGAGTGACGAGTTGGGCATGAGTGAGATCATGGCCAATCGTGATGCCAGCTAAAAAACGCCACAGAGGACACGGTGAAATGGCTCTGCGCTACTGAATCTATATTTTCCACTCGGAACCCAACAGAATAATCATACGACGAAGAAGAAGTCAGTGAAATCCACAAGAATTGACAGGATTTGAAAAACATGAAACAGCAGCTTGTGTTCCAGTGTCTTTACAAGACCATCACCCCAAAATTTAGGTGTGTATTGTCAAGATGTAGTAACTTGAACTGCTGCACTTCTATGCAAAAATCTAAGTAGAAAATTTACACTCCGTTATGGATAAGATTTTATTTTCATAAATCACACAGTGTTGTACAGCAATATTGTGGTGAGAGCTGGCTGCTAGCCAAAGTTGGTAGACAGTAATTGACGTCAATGTTTATGTTCCCAATATTGGTGGTGAGAAAATGAGAACAAAGGCTTTGCGTAGGCGGATACAGTTAGCATATGGATGATCTGACACAGCCACAAAGAGATGCAAGGTTAACTTTCTGTGAGAAACAACCAATCAAAAGGCTGTATTTTCTACTAACAATAATCTACAATAATGTACATTAAAATCTATAAATATGTGTTGATTTTCCTTAATAAACGATCTGTTGCCTGGCCCTTGTCTTCTGTCGTTACACCACGATACTGAAGATTAAACTGGCCACGAAGGGAGAAGCAACAGGGAATTCTGGTAGAGAAACAACCAAGAACTGATTGTTTAACAAATATGCTGGTGAAAATGGAGATGGATTGAAACCACTGAGTGATGTTACATACTAGACAGGCCCTCGAATGGGAAGCAACGAGTTGGGCATAAGTGAGATCATGTGTAGAGGTGCCAGCTAAAAAACGCCACAGAGGACACAATGAAATGGCTCTGCGCCGCTGAATCTACATATTCCACTCGGAACCCAACAGAATAATGATAAGACGAAGAAGAATGCAGTGAAATCCATAAGAATTGACGGGATTTGAAAAACATGGGACAGTAGCTTGTGTTTCAGTGTCTTTATAAGACCATCAGCCTTAACATTTACTTGTGTATTGCCAAGATGAAGCAACTTGAACTGCTGCACTTTTATGCAAAAATCTACTTCAAAAATTTACACTGGCAGGCTAGTAGGAGGTAGTCAGTGTTGTATGTTGAATCCTTAGGCAACGGAAACAGTACAGGAGTTTCTGGGATGACAACCGCAGTACATGTCCAAGTCACCCAATTCTGGTATCGCAAGATGACAATATTAATCTAGAGACGGTGTTCACCACTTCCAAGCATACGCCGCCGAACGTCAGAATTACTTACATGATGACGCCACCGAATGTAAGTAATTTCACGCACAGAGTGTTGATAAAACACCTTGAGACACCGCACATCCTCAGATTTTACGACTGGACGCACCAACAGATTGTTAACCCGATCTTCTTGACAGACTGGTTAAAGTCACGACGGCACCAAAACTGGAGGCTAGGATGGCACATGCCATTATGGCTTCCATCATACGATTACAGATCCTATCCGTCACACCTTACACCATGCCAGTACTCATACAACTGCTAAGATTCATGAACTTATCTATTACTTGTAACGATTCATCTGTAAGGTTGAATGCAGATACAAGGTAGCGCCACTCTTGCAACAGTACACACCACGCTTTTTGGAGTTTTTTCTTTCTTTTGTCAATTGGTTTGAACTCAGAAAGTATGAACCACACCAATATCACATAAAGACTGTCAATACTACCTAGTTGTCCAGATTGAAGAAGACAGATCGACATCTGTGACTTCAGGACTTATTGCCTGAAAACAGAGTTCATGAGCTGATGAAACTTAGCTCATACAACATTCACAAATAAGATAATGCCACAGAGAAAGTTATTTTTAAATTCTACTCTAATAACTCGTTTCAAATACACTCACATGCACTATCGAGCTAGACACATCGACAAAAAATGAAGACAACGTATTACGCTAAATTTATCAACTATAATAAAGAATAGGCCACATGACCAAAAGAAAACGTCAAATTCCAAACGAATTCAAACGATCAATACTGTTGCAAATTAACTACAACCAATCACAACAAAGGATTTCAGGAGATACAATGATATCATTCATAGGGCATTCAAATAATTTGACTGAAAGGATTTCATCAAGAACTGACATCGGTTAGAGAACCATTGGAAAACCAGCTGGGAGTACTGGAAAACTGTTTCGTCCTATTTTTGGACTCTTCATCAGAAAGCATCCAGTGAGGTTAGAACCCAGGACCCAGTTGCAAGGCTCTAACCGATGCCAGTTCATGATGAAATCCTGAAACCAATCAAATCCCTGCAAACCAACACTGGAAATTCACTCAACATTGAAACCTACACTGAATTGATTTTGTCTAGAAGGAAGGACAATGAAAGCTTAGCAATCAAACCCCCCTCACCACCCATACCAAAACCAAAAACATCCAACTAAGACACAAAACTCTCCTCTTACTATTATTTCCTCAAAAATTAGCTTATAAGTACAAATGCATGGCGTTAGCAACTAACCTGTGTTCTGTTGCTGGTATACTCAAACCGGCTGTTGGACAATTATAATAATGTCTGCCCAGGTGTAATGCTGCTAGACTGTCAGTCCCACGGAAATTCACCAGATGTGCAATCCCACCAATGGCTGCAGACTAGGCATACAAAACAAACAAAAGTAAGCAAATATATATATTCTTACAAATAAAGTATTAGATATGAATGGGGGGAAAGAGTGGATTATTTGCAGCTAAAATGTAAAAAATAAAATTCAAAAACAGAATGTCAGTTTATAATACTGATTTATAAATGAGTAACTTCAAGTTTGATCACGGATTGATATCAGTTAGAGTAACTACCATCGGAAACCAGCCAAAGAGTACTAGAAAGTCAGCTGTTTCGTCCTAGTACGGGACTCATCAGTTGCACACACCCAACTGGTTTCGAGATAAGTGGCTGAATGGCCTACGAGCTTGCTTTGTCACTGGAAGGTCCCGGGTTCGGAGTTTGGTGGTAGATGCGTACTACCAATGAGTTCCAAACCAGGACGAAACAGCTGTCCAGTACGCCTTGGTTTCCTATGATTCTCAAACTAATATCAATGAGTGATTAAACCTGAAGCAAATCAAATCCCTACAAACAAATTCATTAGAAAAAAGGAGTAGTTAGTAATCAAATTAGTGATCTAAACACTAGTCTGCAGTTACGCGCAATTTCCGGCTTTCATTCAATATAATCGGTGTCTGTCTGTCTGTTTTCAACATAGAACTTTGCACCAATGTGCAGCAGTTCAAGTCGCCACACTCCCTTCATGTAGCACACAAAGCAAGAGAAGAAAGTAGGAGAAATGCATAATAAATAGACAGTAAACAGAGGTGTGAGACAAAGGAATAGTAATAACGAAGAACAGTATAGTTTCATTGGGTATTATAAGTCACAAGGAGTGGATGCATCTGCGCTAGCCAGCCATTGACAACGATTTTGAGCCATATCACCACCAATTTTCTCTAGCCTTCATTGGTTTTCACCGTTCCGACGACCCCAACCAGTCAGGAAGTCTACATCTTCCAACGTGGCTTAAATTAACTTTTGTGGATTTCATTGACTGATGCGGTGTATTCGGTTAGACTTATTTAAGACAAACCAGTTCAGTTTAAATTAGCCATTTGAAAATTATACATAGTTCAGAGTAGAATTTCACATTGTGATCTGAATTATACCAGATTTTCAAAGGGAACAATACTGGGTTTTCTCATTTCAAAAGGTGTGTAATTAATTAATATGAGTATAAGAAATTAATTCAATGCACTATCCGTTCGAATAAAAATTCGGCATCCCGTACCTCAATTTCATAGACTTCGAAAAGGCCTTCGACAGACAGCGTTGACCGAGAAGTAATTTAGAAACTGCTTCAACACTACGGCGTGCAGTGCCCAAGTCTCTAACAACTTCACATTCAATAGCTGGCTATATGACAATACCACGTGTCAGGTGATCCACAACGGAAAACTCAGCGAGGCGTTCGAAGTGAATACTGGAGTAGAACAAGCTGGCTGTCTATTATCACCGACGATATTCTTAATTGTGGTGTACTGGAATACGCTGGACCACCAATAAGAATACTCTAGAAGATCTGGATTTCGCATGTGGATGATTTATGTTTAGTGTCACACAAACTCGAAGATTTACAGACGAGAACTAAACAACTGGCTGAAGACGCAGGCAGCCAACAAAAACAGGACTCCAGGTGAACATACAGAAGACGGAGGTGATGGAGATAACCAACGAACAGTAGCAACAACAACAACCAGCACCAATCACCATCAACAGGAGAGATTTAACAGAGGTTAGTTACTTCCTTCACTTATGTGTCCAGGAAGCACACTTTCAACCACACACACACACACAGCAAATGAATGGAGATATCAAAGCCAGCCAGCTAGAATGAGAATGGCAAGATACTCCTTTATCAACCTGAAACCAGTTTGGAAATCTTCTGCACTAACTCAGCCAGTATAAAGAACAAGATTCGGATTTTCAACACAAATATGAAGTCAGTCAGTCAGTTCTTCTATTCGGGTCATAAATTCGTCGAACGCGTCACCAAAAGGATTTCCAACAGGTTGCAAACTTTTATCAACACCTACCACCTTCTCTGGTTTCATACTGAAGATCAAATGGCCAGCTGACTGGGAACAAACCAACAAGCAAGAGCCGACTGCTCAAAAGATATGTAGGAGAAAATGGAGATGGATGTGTTGGGCATACATTGGGAAGGTCATCGAATAATATCGCCCTCAATGCAGGCCATTGCTCCAGTGGAATCCGAATGGGAAGCGACGATTGGGTCGTCGGTGAGAGGGTGACATGGAGGAGATGAGAAATTATGGGCAATCGTGGGCCCAGCTGAAGAGGACAGCGCCAAATAGAACAAAGTGGAGATGTGTTGTTGAAGCCAGTCCGATGTTCCACTCGGAACTCAAGGGAATAATAATAAATAATACCCTTAATATTGAAATAAGAACTAACAGTTCAGTGAAGAAATTGTTTTCTTGGTGAATTCATTCACTTAGCTGTACAATCACAATTATATATATATATATATATATATATATATATATATATACATAATTACTGTTTTGTATGTGTGAACATGAGACAAGAATATAAAATTAGCTTGGAGGATTGTTTACATCATGAAAATATTCCGAAAACGTGATGAATAATTAAAATTGTAAGTAGGTGGGGAGAGGGTGAAGATCAGTAAGTCTACACTTAGATCACGTAGTACGCGAAACGTTCAGAGAAAAAATTAGATGCAAAACTGAAGAGCATAGAGACAAGCTGGTAACCGTTAAAAATAACAACACCACATCTACTGAAACTTTAAATCTTGTAATCCACGTCGGTCGGTCGGTCAGTCGGTTTTCGACACAGAACTTTGCACATATGTGCGGCAGTTCAAGTCGCCACACCCACTCCATGCAGCACACAAAGCAGGAGAAGAAAGTAGAAGAAATGCATAATAATGACAGTAGACAGAGGTGTGAGACAAAGGAATATTGATAACGGAGAACAAAACAGTTTCATTGGAAATCATGAGTAACAAGGAGTGGATGCATCTGCGCTAGCCATTGAGAACGATTTTGAGCCATGTCACCAATTGTTTCCAGCTGTCATTGGTTTTTACCGTCTCGAGGACCCCAACCAGTCAGGAGGGCTACACCTTCCTACGTGGCTTAGATTAACTGTTGTGGATTTCATTGACTGGTGCCATGTTTTCGTTTGACCGCCACTAGCTAGCTCTTTTCCAGCCTGGCCCTATATCAGCTAACATTGCCCTTCGGTCGAGGAAGGCGATGACTAGGCGTACGTAGAACATGTCCTAACCACCTCAGTCGATGTATTTTCACAGCCTTGTCGACTGATTTCCCCGCCTTACCTAGCACTCGACGCCTAACCTCAATATTGCTCACCTTACTATACCACTTCACGCAGACACCTATGATCGAACACAGCTAATCTCTTCATGTCTTCTGCTCTCAATGGCCATGTCTCACAGCCATAAAGGAGGACGGAGCGGACTGTTGAGCAGTACACACGCCCTTTGGTCGGATATCGCGTCTACGCCAGAGACGGCGTAAACTGGCATATGCGAAACTAGCCCTCTGTATTCGTGCTGAGATTTCGTGTTCCACTCTGAACACGAGGAACGAAGAGATAGAGTGGTGCATGTGATAATCTCATCCTGGTAACTGAGTCCTGACTGACTGCTTTAAAATTAAAACTTTGCAGAGATGTGCACCACTTACAGCTGCCACACTCCCTGCATGTAGCACACAAAGCAAGAGAAGAGAGAGAATCAGAAGAGAGATAATAAAAAAGTATGAGGCAAAAAGAATAGTAATATGGAAGAACAACAGAATTGTATTGGACATTATAAACCACTAGAAGTAGATGCATCTGTGCCATTGAGAACGACTTTGAGCCATACCACTAATTGTCTCCAGTCTTCATGAATTCTCACCATCCCAAGGACCCCCAACCAGGCAACCAAACTACACCTCCCTATGTAGCAAGCTCAAAAGAACTATTGTGGATTTCATTGACTGGTGAAGCCATGTTTTAGTTCGATCACCTCTAGCTCTTTTCCAACCTGATCCATCCTCTCCATTATGGATAAGATTTTATTTTGATAAAACCACACAGTGTGTTATACAGTAGCATTAATTGATGACGTTTCGAGCACAAACTATTGCTCATAATCGAAACGTTATCAGTTAATATTACTGTATAACAGTGTGTGATTTTATCAAAATAAAATCTTATCTATAATGGAGTTATGCTCTACCATAGTGCCCAAGTTTTATACTTATATCCATGATCCATCCTCTGTCAGCTAAAATTGCCCGTCGAGGAAGGCGATGGCTATATATGAATAACACATGTCCTAACCATCTCAATCGATGCAGCTGCTTCACAACCTCGTCCATTGATTTTCCTTACTTACCTAGCACTCGATCGACGCCTCACCTTTCAATATTACTCACCCTATAATACCACCTAATCTAACATGGGAGACAGAACGCAGACACCTGTGATCAAAGACAGCTAGCTAGCCGGCCTTTTCATTTCTTCCACTTTCAATGGGCATTTCTCACTCACAGCCATAAAGGAGGACAGAGCGAACTGCTAAGCACTATACACGCCTTTTGGTCGACAACCAGCCGATATCACATCTACTAAGCCAGAGATGACATAAGTTGGCATATGCCAACTCAGTCCAAATAACAAACATTTTCTCATAGTTTTTTTTTCATTCGCTTTATAAGCAAATCGACAGAAATAATGGATAGACATTAAAAGATTAAAAAAAGTACACAAAAGAATATAAGTCAATAATCCTCAAAGTTATCGATTGTTCTAGAGTATACACTTTGTCTACACACACACATTGGCTAGATGTGATGCACTTGAAATGAAAAAAAACATTCGATATTAAAACTAGTGAAGATAGTAATATTGCCAAAGTTCAAATGAACTTATAATATTTAGCAATTTTTAAGCCTTTGATTATTCTTTTGTTGACCTTTAATTACTTGACTCTATTAGTTAACTTGCCACATTTCTCGTTAATATTATCGAATACCAACTAAACTCTGCTTTCTGTGAGTTTCTTTGTAGGGGGATTTGATTCTTTTCAAGATTGGTCACGGGTGGATATCAGTTAGAAAACCAACCAGGGTGTGCTGGATAGTCAGCTGTTTCGTCCTAGTTTGGGACTCATCGGCAGTACGTACTCACCACCAGAGTTCAAAACCAGGGCCTTTCGGACAAAAACAACAAGCTCGTAGACCATTCAGCCAGTGGGACCCCACTCAATGACTAGCCCATGAATTCTAAATTCTACACCAATTCGTAGTTTTAGCGCTGTCGTTAAGCGATGTCATTAGCTGTCTTCGATCATAGGTGCCTGCGTTCTATCTCCCGTGTGAAGTAGTATAATAGGGTGAGCAATATTGAGGTTAGGCGTCGAGTGCTAGGTAGGTGGGAGGGGAAATCAATCGACGAAGCTGTGAAATTACGTCAACTGAGATGGTTAGGACATGTGTTACGTATGCCTAGTCATCGCCTTCCTCGACAATGGGCAATGTTAGCTGATATAGGGTCAGGCTGGAAAAGAGCTAGCGGCGGTCAAACCAAAACATGGCCTCACCAGTCAATGAAATCCACAACAGTTAGTCTAAGCCACATAGGAAGGTGTAGACTTCCTGACTGGTTGGGGTCCTCGGGACGGTAAAAACCAATGGTTGGAAACAATTGGTGACATGGCTCAAAATCGTTCTCAATGGCTGGTGCAGATGCATCCATTCCTTGTGACTTATGAATTCCAGTGAAACTATATTGTTCTTCGTTATTACTATTCCTTTGTCTCACACCTCTGTTTACTGTCTATATTATGCATTTCTTCTACTTTCTTCTTCTGCTTTGTGTGCTACATGAAGGGAGTGTGGTGACTCGAACTGGTGCACACCGGTGCAAAGTTCTATGTCGAAAACAGACAGACAGATGTCATCGGCGAATATCTGTGCTCACTCTCGACCAGGTGGACCTTACTGGTCACAACAACAACACTGATCATCGTAAAAATTCACGAAGTAATCAGAAAGCCCCCATGTTAAGCAGTACTGCTTTTGATCTGAAAACCGGACGGCCAGGTACGGCCGTTCGGGACCCAGCTCGTCAGCACTGTACTCGGATGAACTCGTGACGTATAATGAAAACTGATGAGGGTAGACTTAGCTAAACAGCTGGTGCTGATAGACCGCCAATACCCTCATCCATCACTCACATGACAATTTAACATTACCAATGATGACTGCAGTGACATAACTCGCTGGCCAAGAGTTGGATGTTGTAACACAGAGGTCCGACTTATGTTGCTATCGAGATTTTCACTTCTCTTATAATTATAGTCTAGCAACCCAAGGCTATCTCAGATACATAGTCTCCTTCTCTCACCAAAACATGAATACCCCTCGACAGAAAAGATATTTTAATATTATATTATTTGAGGAACTTACTTCAATAGACGAGACTCCACGAAATCCAAAATCATGCAGCTTATACTCTGTTGACAGATCATCCGCTGTTTCTTGAAGATATTTAGCAATAATGCGCTTCATAGCTCTTGAATTCGTTACTACAGCAGTTGGATACCAAACCTGCACTAATATAGTCTGTACTATGGATATTATATCAGTTGGATTCTAACTAACCTCAAGATAATTCGTTAGCCAATAACACTTTGGATCGGTGTTTTCAACAGTCATTAGGACATTTTTCGTTGGGACAACAGTACCCTCAGGGACTGCTTTAATAATCACCGGCAGATGACCTTTATGATGCTGCAAAACAAAAATGAAGAGTTATATATATATGTATATATATATATATATATATATATATATATATATGTCCAAAGCAAGTTCACTTTTAACAGTTTGAAAAAATGTGTGCATTGGGTATATGATATATTCACTTTATAATAAAGGCTTCCTTCTATTTCCCAATGAATGAATGAAAAACAAAACGATATTGTAGTTGTTTTTACTGAAGTCTCGCTATTTAATGCTCCTGCTTATAGCTTTATCAAAGTAGTAGTATTAAACCAGAATTTACAAAATCTCAGCTGCTGCTGCTGCTGCTGCTGGATTCGACATAGAACTTGGCACCGAAGTGCAGCAGTACGAGTTGCCACATTCCAAATAGCACACAAAGGTAGACAGGAAAATGAGAGAAGAGAATCAATAGAATTTAGATAAGTAAGAGTGAAACAGAATGAGTAATGGTAAAAAGGAATATGAAGGTTAAAGGGACTGAATACATCTGCGCTATTGACAACGATTTTGAGCCATGTCACCTATTGTCTGTCTCCAGCCATTGATTCTTAGAGTCCCGAGGGCGGGCCCCAACCCGGAAGTTTGCATCTCCCTCCCTACCTGACTCAGTTTAACTGTCAAGGATTTCATGGACTGATGCCATGTTTTTGTTTGGCCACCACTTACTCTTTTCCAACCTGCACCTAAATCAGCTAGTAATGCCCGTCGGGGGAGACGATGGTTAGGCATGCACAGCACGTGACCTAACCATCTCAATCTATGTAACTTCATAGCCTCTTCGAGTGATTTTCCCTCTTTGCCCAACACTCTACGCCTAACGTCAACATTACTTACCTTATTATACCACCTAACGTGAGAAAGAGATCGTAAACATCTGTGGTCAAAAACAGACAATCTCTTCATGTCTTCCGCTCTCAATGGCCACGTCTCACCGCCATAGAGAAGGACGGAGCGAACTGATGAGCAGTATACACGTCCCTTGGTTGACAGCCGGATGTCACGCCTACGCCAGAGATGGTGTAAGTTAGCGAAAGCAGCCCGAGCTTTCTGGATCCGTGCTGTGATTTCGTCACCAATCAATCCGTTGGTGCTGATACAACTTCCCAAATAGGTGAAGTGGTCAACATGTTCTATCACTTCACTCCCTATCACTAAGCTAGGAGTTGACGTAGTCCAGTCATTCCTGTAGCAGCATCTTACATTTCACAGGGGCGAATCGCATGCCAAACATACGAAGATTGCTGCTCAAGGTGTTCAGAAGACTCTGCATTTTGTCAGCGTCCTCCCCTAACAGGACTATGTCGTCTGCGTATTCTAAGTCTATAAGACTATTCCCTGGTAACAAGTCGATTCCTAAGTCGTTAAGTTCAGTTAAGGATACTTCCATTAGCAGATCTATGATGAAGTTAAACAGAAAAGGGAAAAGTGGACATCCTTGACGGACACCACTGGTTGTTATCAATTCAGATGACAATTCCCCATAAGCCCTTACACAGCTACGTGAGTTTGAATAGAGTGCCTTGATTAGTGCAATGTACTTTCTTGGCACTCCTTTCATAGTCAAACATTGCCATAGAACCTCTCGATCCACGGAGTCGAAGGCCGCCTTCAAGTCAAGGAATATGGCAATTGTTGGACGCCTAAAAGTGTGCCTATGTTCTAGGATCTGTCGGAGAGTGAAGATATGATCTATACACCCTCTACCTGGCCTAAAGCCCGCTTGATTTTCCCTCGTTTGTTCCTCCCGAGGTCGGCTTAGTCTATTCATGATTACTGAGCCTAGGATTTTAGAGACTATGTTCGTTAGGCTGATTCCTCTATGATTATCACATGAGGACTTATCTCCCTTCTTGAATACTGGTATAATAAGTGATTTACCCCAGTCTGATGGAACCGTCTCCCAGACGTTACCTAGTACCTTAGTTAAACTATATACTAGTATGTCACCCCCATATTTAAACACCTCAGCATATATAAAACAAAGAGTTAAGAGGTGACAAAATACACTTAGGTTAAGTTAAGAGGACATATTGAAAGTCAAAATAACTATGAAATAAAATGCTTGGAATGTGATGCGATATACATCGGACAAACATCGCCAGAGGGAAATCAAAATCAGAAGAAATGAACACCGTAAAGCATCTGTTCGACCACCGAGAAATCCAGGTAGTGAACTAGAAAAGCTTGAAAAATAATAATCAGCTTTAGCTCGTCTACACGCGACGCCATAGAATCAGGCCACAAAATTGATTTTGACAATATTGAAATAATCCAGAAAAAGCATTTCAGAAATTACAAAGAACGTCTAATATCAGAAGCACTTCATATGGTCAAGTGGAATCCAATTTGTCTGAATAGGAATAATGGACTAAAACAGAATCTGACCTGATTACGACACCCCCCTCCCCCATGAAATGACAAAATCAACACGAATGTGATAAGCAATTTCATTATATAAACAAACGCTATTTTATAATTTTACATACTTATCAAATTCAACAATCTACACTTGGTTTTGTTATCTTTACCAATTGGCCAACTTGACACCGAAAAATGACCCCACACTGACGAACGATGATCAAGTTGGTAAACTTTGTTTTGATAGCATAGCAGATGTACTATTAACTTTCTTATTTGGTTTATTGGTCTTCATTGTTATTTTGACCTTCAATATGTCCTTTTAACTTGACCTAAGTCTATTTTCTCACCTTTTAACTCTTTGTTGTATATATGCTGAGATTTTGTAAATTCTGGTTTAACAATACTTAGATAAAGTTATTAGTCATGGAAAATTCCCATTGTAAAATATAGAAAATGAAAACAAATGATTCAGCGAAGAGACTCTTTTCAACGAATTTATCATCAAGCTGTACAATCGTATATATATGGTTTTTAATCCTAATAGAAAATGGATTTCACCACGTTTTATAGATAAGAATATACATTCAAATCCTAAAAAACGTGACTTATCAACTGTACCCAAGAAAATACTTTACATGAGCTTGGAATTCAAAGGGGACTTAGCTTCCGATATCATAAGACGAAGGATATCACAGTCCCTGAAAAGAACATTCCCTGCCACATCTCTGAGAATAGCCTTTACCAGTCGACCACCAATGTTCAATAACCTGAAGGACAAGATCCCGCTGTTAACCAACTCTATGTGTGTTTATCAATTCACCTGCTCATGTGGAGCTAGGTATATCGGTCGTTCGACACGAGTTTTGTCCAAGAGGGTGCAAGAACACTATCCTGTATGGTTACGAAAAGGTGGAAGTGAGACAATAAGAAGCGCGATCATTGAACATCTGGTCGATAATGATCACCCTATCTCTATAGCCTCCGCCTTCAAAGTCATCTACAAGGCAAAGAGCAATTTACCCAAATCCCTACATACCCGACTCATCTGTATTGCTGAAGCTTTGGCTATTGAAACAGAAAAGCCAGATCTCTGTGTACAGAAAAAATGTTCGTTCAACCCCCCCAACTTTCATGGTCTTAGTCCATCTATGCTAAGGTATGGTAATCCCCAATCAGATTTTAGCTCTACCAATTTTTCATTTTTGTCTATTCCATTTGTATACTCTTCCTTATTACGTCAATTGTTACTATTACTACTCTCACTTTTAACTGTCCCCAGTATTATTTCACTTGTTCCACTTGTCATTCTAAATCAATTGCTATTAAACTTCACACAATATTACGTAACGTTTTTATTTTTTATTCGACTTGTCTGCTAATCTTATAATTGCACACCTTTTTCAAGTTCTATCCATCCTATGAATTATTCTACATATGACATTAATTTGCTTTGCCACTTGACATTTAACTACGATTATAATAACAAACATTTTAGTTTTAATTGCATTTCATATTATTATTATTATTATTATTATTATTATCATTATTTTATGCATTCACACCTATGTTTCAATTCCCTCACCGGATATAACTTCTTAAAAACCATATATGTATATATATATAATGATAATAGTAATAATATGAGATGCAATTAAAACTAAAATGTTTATGATTATAATCGTAGTTATCTAAAACAGGAACTGATACACATAAAAGAAGCTTTGAAACTTATATATATACGATTGTACAGCTTGATAATAAATTCGTTGAAAAGAGTCTCTTCGCTGAAAAGTTATTTATTTATTTAAACGCAGAAAAACCTGGTACAATATGGCACCAAGAAAGATGCGCCACACAATATTGTGTGAGGGCTGAGATACTGCCCGGGCGCCCAGACCGAAGCGGGTGGTTTTCCTAAGGGACCACCCCCGAGCCTTTGACTTGGAGTCTAATCCACAAGGCAGCGGAGCAGAGTCAGGAGCTGCGTTCCCATGGTTCCCGGTGACCCATATGGGTTCGTACGCCATTTGGTCCGATTGGATTCTGGATCCCATGTACCCCATGGTAACTGCTTTTAGTCTAACCGCTATCCAAACAACCTTCCTGACATGGTAGGACCTGCAGGGACATGAGTCCCAGCCAGTTTAGCTTGTTGGGTCACTGCGGCATTCAAGCCCGACCACCACGGCAAGGTAGCAGTTATCGGTCGGGCTGAAAAGTTATCAGTGGCATTAAATAGCGAGATGTCAGTAATAGCAAAAACAATATCGTTTTGCTCTTTTTCATTCGTTGGGAAATACAAAAAAAAACTTTATTATAAAAATGAAGAGGTATTATTCAAAAATCTGAATAATAATAATATTAATACAAACATACATCAGCTATATATCTCCATCCTTCTTCATTGAATATATCTCTACCGAAATGATCAAGAAATATTGCCTTGGCTTCATCGATTTTCTCATGTGTAACAACTTGACCGACAAGATTACGCTTAATGATATATTGTAAGCCAAAGAATACAGCGTTTGGAAATTTGCCACCACGACTTTCAAAGTAGGAATAGATAGTCTCTGTCCCAGGTGGATATTGAGCATAGTGACTTACCTTTTGTGAATAAGAAGAAAGAGAGAGAGAGAATAAGATGTGATGATGATGAAGTAGAAAAAGGAAATTCACCTACTTTATAGGAGTCACATAGCAGAATGATGTTGTCCAGTGCTTTCGATTGATAACCATTCATGATAGTTGAATACACCAGCACTGATGAGATTAGACCAGATTAACGGTTAGAAAAAAGGTATCTGGAAAGAAATAATGTCGATTTGTTTAAATTTATCAACAGAAAACTTGCGAATTTGAATATTTTAAATAATTTAGTACGTATGAAAAATGTATATTGATTTACTGTCTATTCAAGACGGATGACTACCTAATTTATAGTGGAAAATCATACAAAAGTACAGCAGGGAAATGCATAAAGTGATGCATAGTAAGTGGTGGCCAAACAAAAACATGGCATCAATCCATGAAATCCTTGACAGTTAAACTGAGCCAGGTAGGGAGATGCAGACTTCCGGGTTGGGGCCCGCCCTCGGGACTCTAAGAATCAATGGCTGCAGACAATAGGTGACATGGCTCAAAATCGTTGTCAATGGCGCAGATGTATTCAGTTTCTGTAATCTTTCATATTCCTTTCTACCATTACTCATTCTGTTTCACTCTTATACTTATCTAAATTCTATTGATTCTCTTCACTCATCTTCTTGTCTTGTCTACTTTTGTGTGCTATTTGGAACGTGGCAACTAGAACTGTTGCACTTCGGTGCCAAGTTCTATGTTGAATCCAGACCAGACCAGATAAAAGTAAGAAGAATAACATTGAATAATTGTTAGAAACTGAAGAAAGATAACGCACAACTATCAACAGAGTTTTTTCCTGCTACGGCCAAGGGTGGTTAGACTTTGGCCTTCCTCTCGAAATGTTCCCATGTCCCTACGCATTCATAGCCTTTGACAGGTAAACTCTGTGCACTATTCTCATGCGGTGAGCGTGTTTCTAATGAAGGTGAATGGGAGAGAGCGAATGCCTGGAGCTCCCAACTTCACTGGTGGACATCCAGGTCTACACCTAGGGGATCTGGGAAACCTTGATTTTCAAATCTATGGTGTGCAAGGATTCCAGAATTGGGAATAACCAGATGGTATATGAACTAGCTTTGGTCACCGGAAACCATGCAGAACGCAGCTACTAACTTTTTTCCGCTACTTTGTGGATCAAATATTGGGTTAAACGCTTGGGGATAAGGCCTTAAGATGACCAACTGTATACGTCTGGGATTCCGAGTAGTACCTCTGTCGTCGTACAAAGATTTTGTATGACGCATCTGCTGGTGTCCATAATATACCAAGTTTGTTTTTCAATGAATCAACTAAGCTTACATTGATATATATGCATAATAATACGGATAATGTCACTGAGAACACCCGACAATCATAGGCCACGGGGCATTCCAGCCTTATAGTGTTGAGTTCTCACTGACTATTAACCCACCAATGGTGGGTAATTCAACTTCTCACGTAAGTAAGACAGACACTGTAATCAAGAAATTCGGCTTTATTTTCAGAGAGCAAGTCAATACAGACCATTTCTGGCACACTCAACTGTATTTACAAGACAATAAATGAATCTCAAGTATTTTCAAACATGTCACTGAACTTCTGCAGAAAACTTTGCGTTTGTGAGAATCTTTCACGACACAGAACTATACCACTTAAATGCCTCGGGTTGACAACGAAGTTTCTGAATATATCAGTTTACGTGAAGCTATTGATGGGAAATAAGTACACATATGATAAGATATAATAAAAATGGAGAGAAGCTTTTTGAAGGATACTCGTTGACACAAGCCCCTCAGAAATAATTCACAGCAGATAATAGACATAGAAGTAAAACATATTCAGTAGGGTGACATCTTTGTAGAAATAACGAATGCCCTTCGGTGAAAAAAGTCATTATAAGACCAATCAACTGGCATATCCATATGTGACCCTTAAGTCGGTGATACAGAGGTAAAATGCTCGCCAGTCATGCAGGTGGTTCGGGGTTCGACCCCCGGCCGACGCACTTCCTCACCTCGCTAAGCTAGTAATAAGACTGGTAAAGAGGGAAGGTTGGGCATGAGGCAGGATAGCAACCCCAACCCGCAAAATAATAAACACCACTGCTACCGAAACTTCAATATATGTGTAAAACTTGGGCACTGTGGTAGTAATTCCATATCAGTTTGTTTATTAGATGTATCACACAGTGAAACAGGGTTATTTACTGGATGACACAGTTTCGAACACAATCTATTTTTGTTCATAATCATATCAATTGTAATCACACGACTTTGAAACTTGAGTTTTGTAGTTCTCTTTATCTTCTCCTGTCTGTCGTAGGGGTAGTAGAATTTCCCAGATATCTGGGACAGGTGTTGAATCATTCCTATTACGTGTATTTGCAGTTGATTCGATAAACAAAGCTTCTGTTATCAATCTCTCCCTCCACCCTGTAACATCAGATTTTAAAATTATCATCTTATCCCATCCAGCCTATTGTATGGTTGTGTGTAACTGCATGTAGTGCTATAGCTGAACTATTCTATTCTCTAGATTTCTTATCTCATTTGGGTCAACGAGTCTGGATTTTGCTAGGTTTTTATGTTCGGCTGGTCTGACTGTCCGTGTTCTACTAGTTTGACCCATGTATTTGACCTGACAATCATTGCAGAGTATTAGATAAACTAAATTGTTTTATTTTAAAGGCTCCACAGGATTTATCCTTCAACCGACAAAGCTTATTTCTAACTGAGTTTGTGTGTTTGAATGCCAGCCACTTTTATTCCTGCCTTGTTAGGAATTCTGCGCAAGGTTTCCGAGGTTCCTTACTTGTATGGAATTACTACTGATGATTTAGATTCCTTATTGTTGGTGTCGTCATTAATATTATTATTATTATCATTATTACTATTATGATACATCTAATAAACAAACTAATATGGAATTAACGAAACTTCAAGCCTGTAACTTGAAGTCCTACGTTCCAATGGGAACGTAAAGGGATAAAAGAAGTCAAAAACTGATTGGTGTTTGTATTCCAATATATGGCTTTGTTGACCACGTAATTTCTTCACAGTTATCATAAAGAACACTTTTATCTTTTGTGCTGAAAATTCCACACTGTACCACTGTACTGTTTCTGGAATAAAGCAAATTATTATTATTATTATTATTATTATTATCTAACGTTTGGAACGGGAAAAAAATTAACCATTGCAATCTGACAAAGGCGGCTAAAGCTTAAAATTCAGATAGGTGACAATAGACATTTTGAGCCATCTTTCACAAATACCTTAGGTGGTAGTTTATTGCTAATCCCTAAACCGTCACGTTTCCTATAAACGACTGTGATGTAGCCTACCAGCTTGACTCTCAAGCAATGAACTGACGCTCCATTCATTTCAACTAGACCAATTGGGCAATATCGACGATGTCAAACATGGTTGATATGATAAAATTTGCCTTGTTAATGTAAATTTTTAGATAATGACGACCGAAAATAGTATTATCAGCATTATATCTCCTATATCCCTAATCAAGTTTCAATGTCAACTTTTCACAGAGACTGCACCTGGGTAGTCATCAAATGGAGTGTATATGATCAACCGTCCTTTGAAGTCTTTAATATACCATTTTAGCTGTTTCCTCTTTAAGTGAACAATTAATCCACCGTCTACAGCTAACCAGCATGAAATGCAGCTCATTGGCTCAAGCAATTTTTGTCAATGTATATTGAATTCAAGCCACATTCCATTTACATCAACCTTGCCAACTGGATAGTATCATCAGACCTCCAAATATATATGGCCTGCAGCCTGATACATGAGAGCTCTGTACTGAATAACTGGTTTCTAACTAACAGAATAACGAAACAGCCACTAATCCATATTATTTCACTCTCTTTAATTGTTTTAAACTAGCACTTGCTATTACCCACCATCGCTGCTTCCACTAGAATGTTACATTTTATCTTCACTACTATCCACTTAATGTGTAAAGCTTTTGATACTTGAACTAGTTCCAAGATAACTGCACAAACTTGTTAGCTCCTACTAACATTCGGAGACAATGACTGACTGAGTTCCAGCATAGATCTCTGCACAGAACTGCAGCAATTCAGCCTACCACACAAGAATAGAGAACTTTAATGAGCAGAAATGTATGACAGAAAGAATAGTAACATGAAAAATCTTGAGGACTTAATTCGTCTGAGAAATCACAGAGAGTGAATGCATCTGGGCCATTGAGGACAATTTTGAGCCATATCACCAATAGTCCTCAATCGGATAGTCTAGACCTTCCTACTTGGCTCAAAGCAACTATCAAAGACTTCACGCACTGATGCAAAGTTTTGGTTTGATACAAGTTGATACTTCTTCATAAATTAACTGAATATTTCCTTGCTCTCCATCAGATTGAGGAAATCTGTCACCTCTCATCAGCTATATCGTTACCTGCGTCGTCAATGTCTCCCAGTATATTTGAATATGACACTACAAGGACAAGTAGTCGTCAGAAAATAATTACTGATGGGCATAATTTTTAAGTACGACAATACGCCCAGGAGGTTTCTTTTTAGTTGTTTCAGACCCTCCACTTAAATAATGAAGTGTTAATCTACTCAAAAATTCACATATAGAGTGGAAGTGTACATAATTTTTTTAAATTTAATTTTGATTTACCACTAATGTGGTCAATTATGAGACATAAATCAGAGCATCAAACCAAAGTGACATCGACTCAATTTCAGGTTACTAGCTGATGACTGTGTGGATCCACAATATATCGACTCGTTCTAACTTAATTACACTTCCACCACACACATACGGTAGGTAGGAAAATGTAGGGCCACCTAGACAATGCTAGTGAAAATTTTCGCAAAATATCAAAATTATTTAAATGATACTACACAAATTAAACTACTATTGAGGCTTAATTGGTGAATTAGTGTAAATAGTAGAGAATTAAAACACACAGGGAAACAGAAAATAGCTGACTTCATGAATTACAAACATGGATGAGATGAAAACTTATGAACACTAAAGAACACTAAAGAAGATTTCCAGAATCCGAACGTGAACACATATATCCGATGTATGGCCATGTTGCTGACAATCTTCAACTATTGATTCACAACACAATAAGAACACTAATAAAGCAACCTGCACTAACCTACGTAGGTGTATACAGACCAAAACCTTACATTGAGTAACCTAATAGACTGGCATTGCGTTATCACTTAGCCAACTATAAATCTTTGTTGAGCTCATCCCACCTCGCATAAAACTGCTTGTCAATGAAGGCTTTTACTCAACATGCGCATGCTACGTGAGTAAAACATCTTTGGCATACCTCAGAAAACTACAGCATTCTGCTCTCGTTTTGGACGTGATATAATACAACTTTTATGTAAAACTAGTAAAGAATTATAAGTATGACTAAAAGGATTCCACTCAGCCAAAAATCATGAATAAGCGGTTTTAACTGGAACTCACACAATACTCAAATCCGAACCAAATAAGTCGAAAAACTGGTAGTGCATTAAAAGTAAAGTCTGAAGGACACCATGTGGAAACAATTACGATACTATAAATAGTAACTTTTATACAGATGATATTTTCAATATTGTTTTATTCTATCACATGCGCCTTCTTTCAAATGAAAGCTAAACACAAAATTTGGAGTTGGTAAAAATGTCAAAGCGCTTAATAATGTTAAAAATGAATGACTGCTAGAGTAAGCGGTCGTTTATCTACATATTATGGATCAGTACTTTTCTAACATTCCTTTTTTCCAACTGGATCAATGCTAAATATGGTGTGTGGAATCTCCATATCCACATAAGCACATATTTTGAGGCCACTTCGTGTTTCTTTCGGAGAATTACAAAGACAAAGTGGTAAGGCTCCTCGGTATCCGACATCACCACCTTGAGCAACTGCTTAAATATCTATCAATAACTATGTCATTTGGATATGAGGCAAACAACCTAACAGAAAGCCTGCACAACGTCGGAACGCGACTTAGGTCTAGTTCTAATGGAGAAAATGGAGACAAGCGTAAATTACACGGGGGATGTAGCGAGGGCATATGCGGTCATACACTTTACACATAGACAATTAGGTGCACTCACTCCTGAGCTCTTTCTAAGGTTGTATAAAACATACGTCAGACCACACCTTGAAGTGCATAATATTATTGCACCCCCACTGCTTAGAAGAGACGCCAACCTCTTGGAAAGCGCCCAACGACGGGCAACAAAAGGAGTGGTTGGTCTCCGAAATACACCGCATGATGAAAGGCTGAAGAAATTAGGCCTATTCACACTTAGTTACCGTCGTCTTAGGGGGGATTTGATTACTGCCTACAAAATAGCGAATGACCAGAATCACCCAAACAAAGGTGTTCTGCCATTGAATAGGTATAGGCTCCCTCGTGGAAATCCTAGAAGGATAACTCATCAGAGGGCAAGGACCTGGGTGCGCTCCCACTTCTTTTCCCTGCGGATTTGCCGTCCCTTGAATTCCTTACCGGCAGATGTAGCTATGGCACTTTCCGTGGACGCCTTTAAGCGAAGGCTGGACAACCATGCAGCGACACAAGGAATGCATCCAAATGGCCTCTCCCCTTAAAATCACATACACCATTCAAGGGTAGACAATTAGACTTGTCGTTTTACTTCTTTACATTCTCTCCCATCTTACTCTCCTGACAGCTTCAACTACACCTATTATTATTATTATCATTATTACCGGTCTATACATATATATATGTATATCATTCATATTATTCTTCAAATTTAATCAGCTGACTGTTGTTACGTTTTCTCATTCTTTTTCTGTCTGTTAGTCTGAATAATTTCACTAATTATTATTATCTCTTTTCTTTTGACGACGATACCGGAGGACTAACGGGTGAAAGGATCAACTCCATTCACAGTAGTAACAGTCTTAACACACCTCATGCTACAAACCACATATAATTAATTCCTGCGCTACTCCTTTTGGAGTCAACCAAAGATACGACAGTCGAGTGGTGGGACGAGCTACGCAGAAGTTTACCGAAGATCAGGAACCTATACCTCACAATCAAGAGGCGAGCACAAAGAAATCAAATTGGTATATACTAGCTCGTAAAAACGACACTGGATATATTGGATATTGAAAGCCCTAAATGTCCTATGTATTATGACAGACGTTTTCCAGTAGCCCAGGGAGAGTAAGGGTGAAAGATTAATGCGATTGGATAGAATGCCGGAATTAGTAAGCTGACGCACTCTACTTGCAAAGGGAGTGAAATTTTGCACATTATTCGCAAACATCAGTTTTTTCTTGTTCAGTATATCAGGGAATTGTTATGATAATTTCATTTAGTATTAATCAATCGAACTTGTGTATACATCTGTTGGATTTGTATAGGTTTTTCATTGTTTGTGAGCAGATTATTCTTCCGTGTGGTATTCATCTCGGTTGGTCCATTTGATAAGTATGGTAGACCTAGATTTTCATTTCCTGGTGAAGGTACGCATTGTAACAACTTTCGTACGTGAATTATAATATATGTGCCGGGTTAAGCGGCGCTTAAGATTTCCATCGCCTTAGATGTGCACAGCATGTCTACTTTCTTAGGATATCTAGACAACAAAGTCGTTTGTCAGGTACCTCACCAAAAACCAACGAACGGATATATTTTTTAGACCAGACTGGCCTTTGTAGGACATGTTTAACAGGCAGAATCGCCAGCACAAGAAGAAGCTAGATGCAAAGGCAGAGATAAGAGTACAATCTTTTTTGATTTTGGACAGTAAGGTCCTCTAAACAACTACTTCTAAGACCTGTGTGTAGGCCGTACCTTGTAAAGGGCCTTAATTCCATCCATAAAAACAAAAGAAGTACTAGTAATACATTCAAAAAGATAGATGTTTCAGTAGATTGACTAGATCCAGTTACTGCTGCTGTCACTGAAGCATAGATTGTCGCCATTTGGATTAGACTCACAAACTGTCAGGGATTAGCCATATAAGTGGCAATACTGTAAATGGTCATAACGACGGTGGAGTTATTCTTCATATTAATGAATTTCTCCACAGTGATCCCTGAAAGGCCACAGCTGACAGCAGAGGAATCTACAAGCTGGTTAGTTGTGAGGCTAGTGCTTCGACCTACAGCCCTCCTACTGAAGTATTAAGACGAAGTCCGCATTGTCAGTATAGCGACTTCGTTGGCGATCACATTAGACATAGATAGGAATAAATATATATACATTAAGGTAGATTTCGCAACTGTTACGTTCTGTACGGCTTTAATGCACCCTATGTAGGCTGAGTGGTTCTTTCCCCTCCTTGTAGTAGCAATGAGTTCGGCGGCAAACTGCTCTTAATCATATGGAAACACCTTCGGTGAACACGTCTTGGGCAACAAATGCTTCGCCCTTAATTAGGGCCGTTTCTTCTGAACTCAGTGCCAGAGCGCGATGCAGAAAACAAAGGCAACCTGTTTACTCCAATCTAGCTGACACTGAACATACCGTATAGTCACTGTCTGAGATCAACCACAGGCCACCCCTAGCGTTTGGCATGATATAGCAGATACTAGGGTGAATGAAATCGCAGAAATTCGTCAGTTCAATCACACCTCAGTCGTTTCGCCTCCAACGATGAATTTGTTTATCTGTCCAGGATGAATCATACTGGACACAATTGGATTTGCAATTGACAGTGGTGCAGTTTCTGTCTTGTGGTGCAACTACACACCCTCATATTTTCTTCATAGTAACCAACGTATCCTTGAGTAACAGTAACTACCATGTTCCGCCCCCACTAGTTGGGACGGTGTTAAAAGCATTCCAGCCACCAGGTTAGGTGGGCCAGGCCGAAGAGTCAGAAGGTAGTACTTTCAAAGCTCAGGTCCAGCAGAATATGTTGCCTAAAAGTAACCATAGTAGCAATTCCTAATTGAGTCCAACCAGAAAAGGAGCTCGAAGTCGTTCAAGCAGCGTATCTGACTAGCTTTCTAGACCCCACCCATGCACTAGTGATTCAGTGGTGACTTGTCCATTTATGATACGTTGAATAAAGTTTAAAGTGCACTCGTAATGGTTGGTGTTTTATTCCTTCACGTTCCAATGGAACATAGGACTTAAATCTACAGGCTTGAAGTTTCTGTAGCAGAGTTTGTTTTTACAGAATGGGGTTGCTAGCCTCATGCCCAACCTTCCCTCTTTACTGGTCATATTACTGGCTTAATGAGGTAAAGGAGTGGGTTGGCAGGGATTTGAACCCCGGACCAAATCCGTCGTTGGTTGGCGAGCATTCTACCGCTGTGCCTTCGAAGCCACGGAATGGTCGTATTTGAGTTTATATCATAGAGAACTCCTGGGAAACCAACAAATCGCCCTCTGTGGGTAAATGGATTCATCATGACACTTCTTTAGCGGAAAAAATGAGTAATAAAACCTCTTAATCACTATTAGACTGCACGATTTCTGCCAAAATAGCAGGTCAGAAAACAGACAAAGGCACTGACTTAACAACCCATGAAGACATGTGAATGGCTCCTCAATGGGAACTTACAGGATTTTCCTAAATGTCTCTTCGAGCATGCGCTAATCTTATGTCAACCGCATAGTTGATAAAGGCTCGATTAACCTTTTCTTCCGACGGTGTTTTCCACCCGAGTCTCTTGACAAAGTAATATAATTTTGGACTGACCAAACCGTAGACCGCTGAAGGAAAGACTTCTTTCTGTATTGAAGGCATAGTAAAAGATAGTGCCGTTTTGCCACCATGGTAGTTAATTAAAGTGGGATAACTCAAAGCGATATTCTGTGCCATGTTCCTATTATGTGTAAATGAGATTACACCAATGACTGAATCATTCTGTCTGTTGCGAGCTGATGAGAAACTCTAGAGGTTTCCGGAAATGATAGTGATTTAAATGAGTTGCAAGATCTATGTCTGCTAGTTGGATAGTGAGACATCTGTTTCTTGGAAACCAGTACAGTCAGGCTTGTACCTATGTATGTTGTTCACAGCAACATGTGCAACTTATCAGTAATCAGCCTCACTTAGTTTGACTAGGAGGGTTCAGCAGTGGTTGTGAGACACGACCAGGCAACCTCAGCTAACTGTGGATGAACGCCTTGAAGGGTTTTAGCGTTGAGGGCTATGTGAGCTTTGACCCTGGTATGTTCCGTATGCTGTATATAGCATACATACAGCTTCATGTGGAATATGGAATCCAGGCAGCAAGTTCGCACCAAAAGGATTCCGGAGAACTGAGACCCAGTTGATTAACTGATAGTTAAAACTTAAAGAAGGAGAGACTTTCTTAACCTTCACTCTCATTGGGACAACTGAGGCGCGGCCTCAGTTTAGCATTCCTAGGTTCGCTTAAAGTTACGGATCCTTACTTACCTTATATTTTCCACTCTGGAAACAAATACTTGTAAGCAAATTATTTTAAGACCCAGAAACGACCTACGAAATGTCTGCGGCTGGAAGATCCTAGTCCGTATGGAGCTATAAATAAGTGAAATAAGCATGTCCTATCAGAAGCTCCTGCGGATTTATTTGGCATCAGGATGGATTTCCCTCTACTGCATGTATAGATAGGCAGTATAGTCCTAAAACATATATCCCTGGTTAATCAGTTTTGGAATGAATGATCAGGATAAATTGCCAAACTTTTCAAAAGTAGGTAAGTAAACTCCAAACAGCCTATCCGAAAGTGATATTCCTAGATTACTTTGCTCACAAGAGTGCCACTGGATATGTGAAATGTTCAGCAAGATCACTGCCACACTGTACACAGTGGAAGACGATCAAGTTGTGGATTTTCTGCGTAAAACAGATCAATGTCTAAGTGGCATACTTTTCACTACACAAGAGATCGATAAAGCTATCACAAATCTTAAGCTTAGTAACTTTGTTGGTCTAAACGGTATATTTTCCATTCTGCTGAAAAAACGGTGTAAGTGACATGAATTTATTCCTACCCAAATTTTACTCAAGTTCACTAAGCGATGGGACATACCATACCTGCTGGAAGAAGTCTTATATTGTACCTATCCATAGATACGGAACCATAGCTGATATCAACAACTACTGCCCCATCAACACCACGTCTGTGGTTTCGCGTGTAATAGGAACGATAGTTGTCTAACTACACTGGACTTAACGCTGTCCTTAGAAGACATTCAGCAACAATGTGCAATAACCAACGCGAAAAAACAGAACACACATTGGTGACTCGAGAATCCTTTGTTCTTGCACCAATATGGAACCAACCATAAGGTTGTTATACACCAAGTCTAAGAATAAATATCATGACAGTTAATCACAATAATAGTCCTGATAGTATTTCTCCGTCTTCCAACGAACAGAGTACGATGGAATGATGACTGCAGTATCGGTTACTCCCACCAAAATATGGAGTTGATTTTGAGTAAACAACCATGAGTTGATCGTTCATTCTTCAACTACATTGACACTCCCCAGCAAAAGAGGGATCCATCCCTTTTTTCCATCACGACCAATACACGTTGACCTGGATGCCAGTGCGAGAACCTGGGCCACAAGGACAAAGCTGAAATGGAAAACAAACAACAAAGCCAACACACCACTGGCATACCCATGGCACAATCTTACTCGTCGACGAAAACCTACGTCTTTTAGTTAAAGGCACAGTCACCACTTGCTAGAACGACTCTTGTAGAAGGCAGCATGACCATAGCAGTACCCCGTGATACTCTTCGCACATCCTCTTATCTATTCAATACCAATTACCTCTGCTATCACTTGTCACTCATTCTGCCTCAGTCCTAGTAACGGTGATACATGCAAGCCTCAGTCGTTTACACTCTCGCTCCCCGGCCTATGGGACCACAGCCGAAATCGGAACATTCATTCTCAATCATTGATTCCACAGCTAATCCTTGTCTATGTGTGCATGTCATTCTCAGCACTAGCCTCCCGGGCGCATACAACCCATCTGGTGTCTTTAACATCATTCAATTCATTCACAGATGTAGAAAACTCGAAACAACTTCGGAAGAAAGCACGACGAAAATTTCAACAAAATTGTACAACACAACAAAATTCGAAAACAACAAGTATACACAGTGAATCCAGAAAAACACCAATTGATACGACACACCATATATACATATATATAGAAACAGTACACACAACCTTGCAGACCATGTCTTGATGTAATTGCTTTGAAGAATCGCAGGACTTACACCAGTACGCCTGCAACCCCTCTTACGTTGACGGTTCTAAGTAGGAAAATCGTCAAGTGGTCCATCCTCTGACTCTCGACTCTCAGCAACTTCCAGTAGACACACTTTCCTAATATCTCTCACCAAAATGCCACAACTTGTTCTCACCTCGACCGTCCTCACTAGCCCATCACCACTACTGAGTACCCTTTCTATCACTGGATTCTGCTCTACCACTTCTTGCGGACTTATTAGCATTGTTTGATTTGCGTCTTTTGCTAGGATTTGTTGCAGACATTAAGATCAGACTCTTGGAATGGGTTACTGTTAATTTAGATGGTTTAATGTGGATGAACAATGAATCGGTAAGGTCGGTTTTGGAGTATATGTGAGTTTAACTGTCTGCCGCTAAATGCAGTTAACAATTTATAAATATGAAGATACCGTATCATGGTATGACGACGCCTTACACGAATATTGTAAATGCAGAGCGGCGAGGACAGAAACCCTTCAAGTAGACACTAACTATGATAGATAATCTCAATCGGAGGGGTAATAATCTGGAAGAGAATAGGACTAAATGCCGGGAGACCTACTAAAAAGTCGTCCGTAGAATAAAAAGGAATTGTGATATATCACGCGGAGAAGTAACGAAACCTTCTCATTACTTCCGTATAGTGAACGCTATTAACATGGTCAGGAAACCGGAAAATTTAGCCACATCATAAGTCGCAGAGCGCTACAAGAGCTTCAAGTCATCCAGGGAAATAGAATTCAAAGATTCTTTGGAAATTTTTACCTGACGATCAGGGATTCAGTGTGAGACAAAAGATCTCTGTCGAGATAATATTATTCTCTCTAAAGTACTAGTTTGCAGAAGCAGGCAGCGAACACAGAACAGATCGTCTGACTACCAACAGTGGGTTAATTTTTACACGGAACTAATGTTAAATTCCTCGCCAATTAAGTTGTAAGTTCCACAGAATGGTAGCGGTGCACGTGAATAAATGATGCCTACGATGTTTGGCGATGGAAGTGAATGCTGCTGAATTTATGGCAAGCCTCATATTGGGCAGGTGTCATCTGCAGGCTCCCTTATCTTGTTCACCTCATAACGATCAGCTCACCGTTCGGATTGGAGTCTCGTTCACCCGGCTGTGGCAACTGAGTGAGGCAAAAGGTCAAAGATAAATTTTCGGGAACGTGTGCACTTATGAGGCCGAAAACGGAATATGCATGGAGGAGCAAACTGAAGTAAAAATGCATTTTCTAGCCTCGGTTTCAATGCGTATAAAAGCTTAAATGATATTTTCAATCATGTGGGCATGTTTCCTTTATTAATTCGTAATCCTAGAAGAACTGCAGTATTCCTTCCGGTGAAGTGAAGCCTGTTTAACGAACACATAAGGAGAGTACTTGACAGAAACAATTTTCTCAATGGAATTAAAGTTAGGGGCTTAGAGACGATAGACCCAGAATAACAAGACCAGTGTACATGTTCAACGTTGTGACATAAGTGTTACGGCCCATGTGATTTTTCATAATCTCATAATGTTGTCTGACTTACCCCACTGCAAAGTGACGTAGGCAAGTGTCGGAGAGGGTTTCTCCTGTTACTTGTAAACTCACTTCGTGGGGAGGGAGTTCTGCAGGTATTTCATCTGCGTCTGCTTAACCTGGTGTACTTCAACCTCTCAAGTCTTAGAATAGGCCTTCCTTCGGCCCCTATTATTATCGACATACTAATACTTACAACGAACCATAACGAAGCAAATAACAAGTCTTGTGAATGAGACATATTAAGGTTAGGTGCGAAAACTAGGTCCCATCTTATATTTAGGCATGTCTGAACTATCTGAACACTGCTTAAAAAAATCTAAGGCTCACCATGATATTGGGTCACAATGAGTTCCTGCGTTACGGCCTGTGAATTATCGCTCACGAGAGTGTGAAGACCTAAGTTGTTTCTAGTATTTTTAGCTTCGATTTTGAGTCACTTGGAATGAATTTGCAAAAGGTATTGTCACCGCACCATTGGTGGAAAATTCTAATCGCACAATAACATTCCGATTGCATCTAGACAACTGTGAACTCAAATAAATGGAGAAGTAGTCGTCAAATGATGCGTTACTAATAAGGCTCATTGACCTAAAGAAATCTACTAATTGTCTCAGAAACTATGCTCCTATTGTTGTTCCTAAAGCACTCAGCTTTCGTTGCCTGACACTGGAATATGTTAATATGTTTGGTGCTTTTCAAAATATTACCATTACAATCGTCATACAAATATCCTTACTACCTTATTCGCTTCTGCTATACTAAATGACATTTTAGTAGGGTGTAGGTATCGAACGTTCGCGAGTTGTACGGATTATACTAACGCAAGATCTTATACCAACAACCACTATAGTGTTCGTTCTTCGAGTACCAAATGGTAAAGCAAAAGACCAGATTTTGTCGTCCAAATACGATATATATTTTGGGACCAAATCGCGGGTAGGAATGAATGCTTAGCTAGCTAGTAATCGTGCACGCACGTGACACGACGGAGCACCAAATGGCGGGGATGCTTGACCGTAAGCCTTCAGCTAAACAAGTCGACTTAAACAGTGATGGTCAGCATCCAATGTTGAGTGATGATTGCTGTGGTTAATAATTTTGGGGAATTATTTACCGCTACAACATAACAGCTGTCTCTGTCTATGGTACTTCTGTATTTTTAACACACTATAAATGCCCCTTAAATTTGGCTAATATCTAACGGCCATTGCCATTACCAGTCTATCGACTAACCACCCAGAAAGCCAGTGAATACAAGGAATGACACCTCCAACGACCAGCAAATGGGCGTAAAGAGACCGGTAGGATAAAACCAGCTTGTTGGAAGTCGGGTGATTAACAGCTGTATAGTCTTCTCCGCATCTCTATAAAAAGCGAAAATTATCCTACCCCAGTTAACATCAGTATTATTGTACATTAAATACTAAGGTTCAAACTGTTTTAATACATCAAAGTCAAACTACAGCATAGTAACAGCTCAAGGAACTACTGTCATATTTTTAAACTGGAAAATTTAAGACAGGAATAACTATTGCTCGTAACCACAGTTATGCCCGACATCCACTCCTGAAATATGTTTCTTTCAGTTAAAACCATGAAGTGGGCTTATCCTATTTGTCCGAGGATTACAACTATTGGTAGAAACGGATGTGACATAATTATTGATGTAAGAATTAGTACTGATATTTACCATAACAGAATCCCACTATTGATCCACAACATGCAGTCATAGAGCAAGATCCCTCAACTGGATTGCTAACACTTCGTGATTTATCATCTCGTAAGGTATGGTGTACATAGGTAAATGATATATATAATTAAAGGGGACATTTGTAAATGACCATAATATTGATGGTGAAGTTGTCCGCTTGTCAGTTGGCGATAAAATTAGATTTGGATGTTGTTCAACAATATACGAAGTAACATCTCCTGACAGAAACTTACGAGAGGTTTTTTCCATTATATACTATACGAACGATTAAAAGTCTTTCACAGGTACCCAACCAGTTGATGTGGACAGTCAAGATAAAACTTTAAATAAGCTTCTGGTGATTCCCGATGGATACGCAGGGAAAATTCCTCCGTGGATCAAAGTGTGCAATAATTCAGATGCCAGTCAAATAAATCTCCCAAGGCTTGTATCAAAAGCCGATACTTGTCATTTTACACCAATGCTATCTATAGGCAACAAAATGAGTACCTTCTCTTGCAGAGAATCTGACAAAAATTATTACGAAGACAGACCATCTTCGAGAACAGCGAATATTTGTAATAGCAGCCAAGAAAACCCTGCTTATTATATGAAAGCAAGTGCGCCAGGTTGTTACTTTCACTACAAAACGTTATATAACAATTTTATATTGACCCTAAGATAATCACCCTTGATAATTGTGTAATCTAACCGGCAATGAACTAACATTTCTCAGTTTACCTATGCCGGGGAATATTTAAAGTTTGCATTGCATTTGCTAAATGGTAATATTCAGGGTTTCTAAATTGACCTTAAAAACTTTTCACTGATTTGAAAGCTGGTTAATTTCAGTTTGTTCATATTATTTGGACTCAGTCTTTACTAAATTTATGACCCTGCTACTGAATGAATGTGCGTGATAGGTCGTCCATATAGTTTTTTCATTAATTTAAGTGATTAAACACTCTTGGACTCTCAGTTGTCCTCAGTAGCATTACAGAATATCTAGTTGGGCCATAACCGAGCGTTAGCAGTTTTATACATATCCTGATAATTTTGGACAATTGTTTCAAATCCATTCATAAAAATACTATTTGCATTTAACAGGAATTCTCTGAAAGTATGACTAATTTAGTTTTGGTTATTGTGATTAAGTGATAATACTTTTTGATGAAGGAGAGGTCAGTGAAATTGTTACTTCTCATAGAATTAGTAGATATGTTTTACTCCTTTTCACAAGTTTTCAGGATGGAGTAAGCTGTTTAATAATTTTTTTGGTAATTGTAGTGTTGGTTTATGAGTTTGACTAAGTTATTCATTGCTTTGAGGGAGTCATTTATCCCCACTTGTTATTTTACTTTCTATCATGCCTATGTCAATGTAATTATATACTATCATAGCCAGTTAATTCCTAAACCTTATATCTATATAAAGAGATAAACATATCAAGCATTCTGTAATAACTACTGGAAGTTGTGTTTTAATCTCATACAGTACACTTTCCATACCTGCAGGTGTACTCGATCCTGTGATATAATTTCTTCTAGATGTGTCAAGTCTTAGATTGTACCGTTATTTCACCTAAATATTTTTCAAGGCTATAAAACTTCGATGATTTGTCGGTGTTAGGTTGACATACAATAGGTGTAGCGCATTGCTAACTGCATTGGAATGCAGGCGATTTTTGAGTAGTACCTAATTTCATTCATCACGCAATACTTCGCTTCATCTGCTTCCCGCCAGTATATGATTGATTCTGTGGTATGCCTTACATATGACACACACCGGCAAGGTATTACAATATTAGAAATACAACCATTTAAACTTTCAAGCACTGTTAACCACAGTGAAAAAAGTAAACTTTGTGTTAACTTTTGTCTTTCAATGCTGTCATATGTTTGGAAACTTACACTGGACAATCCCATGTTTATTCCTTGATGAAATGGCCATAAATTACAGTCATATATTGTAATGCTAAAATTCATAAGTTTCACCTTCTACAAACATTGATCAGTCGTATTTATTAAAGCAGATATACACTGGTCTTGAATATGACTGAGAATTTCATCCCAACCAAGTCTCTTCTTGTTCTCTAACCCAAACCTTTTAATAACACAAAAACATTCGACTGTTTAGCGACGTGTCTACTTTGAATTTAAAAGACGATAGACTTTCAATGTGCTGAAGCTCTATTTTCAAAGAATTTGATGAATTTCAAGTCATTACACGAACTAAAATCACTCAGACAACCCCTGAAAACCAAGCAGTACCAGTTTCGCCCTAATTCTAAAGTCTTTAGAAGTACACATCGAGGAGTGGCTGTGGCACTATGCATCATGGATCGAAAAAATTCATAAGCCATGGGATTCGTACTCACTGGTTGAATGGTCAAGTCGCTTGCCTCGTAACCTGAAAGTCCTGGCTTAGATAGCTGACGAAAGTCGTGCGTATGCACTACTTAGGAGTATCAAACTAGGACTAGATACCTGTTCAGTAACTCGTTTTTTTCAGCGGTGCTGTACCCTGTGTCAGTTTGGGATCTAGACTGAGACATCTAATGTTTTGGAAATTAGTTGTTTACCTTCAAAATACTCGTTTGCCAATACGAAACTATCTCAAATAGACCCACCAACATGTCGTGATAGTACCCAGTAAAATATAGGAATTATTTTCCCTCGAAGGTATTTATCGGTTTACTATCATTATTGAAAGATCAATCCATGATATAGACTTTAACTATAATAAAAGTTTTCTTGTATTTCCCAATGAATGAAAAACAAAGCGATATTGTTTTTACTGACGTCTCACTATTTAATGCCACTAATAGCTTTATCAAAGTAGTAGTATTAAACCAGAATTTACAAAAACTCAGCATATATATAACAAAGAGTTAAGAGGTGAGAAAATGGACTTAAGTCAAGTTAAAAGGACATATTGAAGGTCAAAATAACTATGAAATAAAATGCTTGGAATGTGATGTGGTATACATTGGACAAACATCACCAGACGGGAATCAAAATCAGAAGAAATCAACACCGTAGAGCATCTCTTCAATCAACAAGAAATCTAGGTAGTGAACTAGAAAAGTTTGAAAAATAATCAGCTATAGCTCGTCTACACGCGATGCTATAGAATCAGACCACAGAATTGATTTTGACAATATTGAAATCGTCATCCAGAAAAAGCATTTCAGAAATCACAAAGAACGTCTAACATCATCAGAAGCACTTCATATCAAATGGAATCCAATTTGTCTGAATAGGAATAATGGACTAAAACAGAATCTGACCTGGTTACGACAGCCCCCTCCCCATGAAGTGACAAAATCAACACGAATGTGATAAGCAGTAACATTATATAAACACACATCGCTTTTATAATTTTACACACATCAAATTCAGCAATCTACACTTGGTTTTGTTATCTTTACCATTTAACCAATTTGGCAACTAAAAATGACCCCATGCTGAGCAACGATGATCAAGTTAGTAAACTTTATTTGATACCATACCAGATGTACTATTACCTCTGTTATTTGGTTTAGTGATCTTCATAGTTATTTCGACCTTCAATATGTCCTTTTAACTTGACCTAAGTCTATTTTCTCACCTCTTAACTCTTTGTTATATATGTATGCTGAGTGGATTTTGTAAATTCTGGTTTAATACTCCTACTTTGATAAAGCTATTAGCAGCAGCATTAAATAGCGAAACATCAGTAAAAACAACAATATCGTTTTGTTTTTCATTCATTGGGAAATACAAAAATTAACCTTTATTATAATGAATATCATATACCCAATGCCCAAATTTGTTTCAAACTGTTTAAAGTGTACTTGGTTTGGACACATACATAGATTTTAACTGTTTATAAAAATTCCCTTACTTTTAGATAATTCTCAAACGAGTCTTTCTCCCAATTTGTCAATGAATGAAACGCTGAAAAGAGATGTAAATTCAGATGAGAAAGTAAGCTAATAGTGATCAGAATTTTTGCTTATTACACTATGTAATCGTATTTTAGTTGTATTGTTGTTGTACATTGTTTCATTTTAGCTAGATAATACACTTTATGGGTTAGCAGTATACAGAATGTCGCTAAACACGATTATTCACATACAGTGGAATCGTAATTCACTCACCCAATCCTCTGAGTATCATACTCACTAACTAATTAAATCGCTGTATACTGTCAGCTCACTTTATGTTATTATTATCATTATTATTATTTCCTTTAATTCCTAGAGGAACATAGGGATTCAGCTGCACGTCTCCATTGCGTTCGGTTCTCTATGAGAGTTTTCACCTGGCTCCAAGTCTGCCCACACGCTTTCATCTCCTCTTCACATGACCTCTTCCAAGTCACCCTTCCACTGACAACCAACTCGCCGCTTCCCTTTCGGGTTCCACTCAAGGGCTTGTCTAGTGATGTCACTTGATGGTTTGTTTTCTCAGAGTATGACCAATCCATCTCCATTTCTTCCTGCATATTTGTTTCACAATTGGTTCCTGGTTGGTTGGCTCATTACCAGAGATCTCTGTTGCTGATCTTTTCTGGCAGGCCATCTGATCTTGAGTGGTATTGAGCGAAGACAACTGTTAATGAAGGTGTGTAGTTTGTTTGAGAAGCTCTTTATGACTCGCTGGCCAAGTCTCTGATCCGTATAGTAGCATTGACTTCACATTGGAGTTGAAAATTCGGATCTTATTTTTGATGCTGAGTGCTGTTGACCTCAACTCAGGCTTGAGAGTAGTGAAAGCTTGTCTTGCTTTGATATCTTCGTCAGTTCCGCCTGTAGTTGAAACGATGCTTCTCAGGTAGGTAAAAGAGGTTGTTTCTTTCATGTTCCTCCCATTTATGCTGATTGTTGTCAGTTGTTGTTGTTGCTATTGGTGGTGTTGCCCAGGAATTTTCATCACATCTGTTTTATCTATGTTCACCTGAAGTGAAGTTCTATCTTTGACGCTTCTTCTACCAACTTGTTGTCGCTTCTAAATCTTCCAGTTTGTGGGAAATCAGGCATATATTATCGGCGAAGTCCAGATCCTCTAAGTTTTTTGTGCGAGTAGTATTTTATGCCTGTTTCCTCATTCCCCGCTCTTTTTCGCATTATCCAATCTACTACAATCAGGAAAATCATTGGCGATAATAGGCAGCCAGCTTGTCTTACTCCTGTCCTCACTTCGAAGGGTTCTGTAAGTTTCTCGTTGTGGATTATTTGGCGTGCAGCTTTGTCGTACAGCTGTTGAATGAGATGTATAATTGTCGGTAGCACCTCATAGTAGCGAAGTAGTTGCCAAATCACCTCTAAATCGACGCTGTCAAAGGCCTTTTCAAAGTCGATGAAGTTGAGATAGAGAGGTGACTGCCACTCGAAGCTTTGTTAAATGATGATCTGTAATGTGGTGATCTGATCAATGCATGACTTGTTTCTCCTGAATCCAGCTTGTTCCGGTCGAAGTTTTTTATCTAGGGCTTGTTTGATTCTCTCCACTTTATGTTAAGTAGTGTATTTTTACCATCACCCTGATAAACACTGCAGTTAAAGTGTTATCGAAGTTTAGTGATTTAATGGTGTAAAGTGCGGCGATTTGAACGGTCGTACTTCATGTAGCATACAAAGTTGGAGAAAAGAAAGCAAGAAAGGATCTCAAAAAACTGTAATAAGCAGAAGTGTGAGGGAAAAAGAATTGTAACGTGGTAAAACATGAGAGTTGAAAGGATAAGGTAGATCGTACGGGGTGAATGCATCTGCACCACTGAAAACAATCTTAAGCAATATCACTAAAAGTCACCAACCATTGGTTCTTACAATCGCCGAGAGCCCCATCCAAACTCCATCACCTCTCTACGTCTCTCAAACTAACAGTCACGCAGTTCATTGATTTGTGACAGGTTTAGGTTTGATCATTCCTAACTCTTTTCCAACCTAATGTGTTGTAAGTTCACACTGGTCGCCGGGAAAGACGGTGGCTTGTTATGTGCCACACGTGTCCTAGTCATCTCAACGGATAAAGCTGCACAACCTTATTGATTAACTTCTCCTCCTTACCTAACGCTGTACGCTTAACCACAACATTAATCACGATATCAAGCCAGTTGAAATGGGAAATGAAACACAAATATCTACGGTCAAAGACAGCTAGCCTTGGCATATCTCCCGCTTTCAATGGCCATATCTTAAAGCCGTAAAGGAGGATGGAGCGGACTGATGCGCAGTACACACGTCCTTTTAACATGTGACCAAGTTATCACATGTGATCATCCTTTGATCCTATCTGTGCCTGAGGTGAAGTGAGTTGTACCATTGCTGAGATTTCGTCAGCAATCAGTATGTTATGGCTGACGGAACTTCTCAAATAAACGAAGTGGTCAATACGCCCTGCCCCTTCACTCTTTACCTTTAAGCTAGGAGTTGATGTAGTCCAGTCTTGTAGCATCACCTTATATTTGACAGCAGCAAATAGCATGCCACAAATTAGAATATTTGTGTTCAAGGTGTTCCGAAGACTCTTGATTTGATCAGCGTCTTCACAAACTAGGAGCAGGAGTAGATCATCCGCATATTCCAAGTCAACGAGATTATTTCCTTGATAACAAGTCAATCTCTGAGTCTGTGAGGTAATTTAAGGCTAAGTGCATTAGCACGTCTATGATGAAATTAAGCAGAAATAGAGACAGTGGGCATCCCTGATGGACACCACTGGCTGTCACCATTTCAGATGACAACTCACCGCAAGCTCTCATCTGGCTGACTGTATGAGTTCAAGTAGAGTGCCTTGATCAGTCTAATGTATTTTCTAAGCATTCCCTTCACAGCCAAACATCGCCATAGTACCTCTCAGAAGGCGGTATCGAATGCCGCATTTAGGTCAAGAAATATGAATACTGTTGGACGCCGGTAAGTATGCCTATGTTCTAGAATCTGTCGAAAGGTGAAGATATGATCGATACACCATCTTCCTGGTATAAAACCTGCCTGGTTCTCTCATGTTTGTTCCTCCTGAGCACCTCTTCGTCTACTCATGATTATTAAGCCTAGAACTTTATATACTATATTATTCAAGCTTATCCTCCTATGATTACCACGAGGAAACTTGTTTTCCTTCTTATAGACTGGGATAATCCATGATTTACACCAGCCTAACGGAACCAGCTCTAATTCCCGGAAATGATTCAATGTCTTAGTTAACACAGACCCTCTAGAGATTCAGCCTAAGATCTTCAAGTTAAGCAGACAGTCTATCTACCATACAGCCACTTGGTTTCAGTTCAGTGGCCTGTAAAATTCACGATACAGCCTTCTATGACTGTCACTAACTAATCTACATCAAATTTCGTCAAAATCTTAGGGAAACCCGAAAATGAATCAAAACTTTGTATACGAACACGTCAGTCGTATATGCACAACTCATTAAGGATTGTTATAGTATACTTTAATTGGACATTGGTCTTTTGATTGGACACTAGTAACTAGTGTGATGTGTCTAGTCCTTTCTTTGGTGCAGACTAAATTCTATCAGTCAGGTGTTTAATCTGGCCACCATTCTAGGTAGCTTGTCATCATGGTGCACATTGATTTGATGATATAAGATGGTTGGAGGCAATCGACAGGAAGGAGGTTAGTTACGGACCCGAATAGCTCAGTGGTGACGTCTCTGACTGCGGCACTGGGTGATACGGGTTCAAATTTTCGAAGGGACATCAGTTCCTTCAAGGATGGAGATACGCCTTGCTGACTGGTGAGTGGCAACTAGCACGAAGCCTAGGTCAAAGGCTTCCAGCTGATTGCATCCAACCATCTAATATTGTTATAGCATATTTGTTTCAGCCGGCTAAACTACCTTTATTCATTGACTTTACTGGTCAAGACACACATTTCAGACTGTAAAACATCTCCTCGATGGAAAATAGTAGCTAGGTAGGATAAAGTTCAACAAACACCGGCTATGAATATAAAAATATCAAGAAACCCTACATATATTCATGATCTCTGATTTTTTAGACGCCATCACAAGACAGATCTTCATTACTCCAAAACCAGTAGGGAAATCTGCTACACTCATCACAAGCAACAAGATCCGAATCTTCAACATTAATGTCAGGTAAGTTCTTCTGTATGTTTCGGGAAATTGGCACATAATGGGAAGCATTCCTATCAGCGGCTGCCTCCTCCGTCTCAAAACTGCAGTTGAGATGGCTGGAAAGAATTAACAACAAGAAAATCTGGGAACGAGTCATTTAAGAACCTATTGCTCATCAAATCTGCCAAAGGAGATGGAAGTGAATTGAACGCACGCTGGGAAGACCACTGGGTGACATCGCATGCCAAGCCCTCGAGTGGAACTTGAATGGGAAGCAAAGATTTGGGCATCTAAAGATGATATGGAGGATATGGCATGAGGAGGAGATGTAAGCTTATGGCCAATAGTGGGGTTAGCTAAAAAGGACGACAGAGAACACAGTGAAACGTCAGTTCGCTGCTGAAGCCTTATGTTCCATTCGGAACCCGAGGAAATGATAATAATTACAATCGCGTTTGTTCCACACTCATATCCATCCTTGATCATCATCATAATATCATCCTATATGAAATGAAATTATTATTTCGAATTCACTGTTGATTGACTATACTTGACTATAATGACACTGACACATCGACTCTCGGTATGGATGCTTCGAGCATGTTTTGAGACTGACATGTTGATACGTAGTTGGTGGTAACTAACAGTAGAATCCAAGACGCATATCCTCTCCTGCTTGGGACTCGTCAACTGGATACACCTTTTTCTCAGTGAGTAACTGACTAACATAATGTTGTTAGAATTTAAATGGTGGATGTTGACTAGCAATGGATTTACCTCACTGGGCAATGCAGGTACATCCATCTGACGACTCCAAAACAGGACGAAATGCACACCCTGGATTCCTTGTGCTAGTCACCATCCACCAATTAAATTCTAATTACATGCCCAGACATCGTTGAAGCATCTGCACTAGAAGCCGACATGTCAACCTGAGACGGAGCACTTCGGTCCAATCAATCGACGGGAAAATCTAAAATTCTATTATATAACATAATGTTGATTTCAACAGACTAAAATATCCCTCGTAGATTGTTTGCCTGGTGTTTAATGTTAAATTGTTTGAAACAATGTGTGGTGAGTCTGAGTCCCATTGGCAACACCATCACTGACTGGGTGTGCCTGTACATCCAGTTGATGGGTCCCAAATAGGGCGAAACGGAGGTTACGGATTCTACAGCTTATCAGTCTGAAATAATACTGTCCTATGAGTCAGATGTTGTCACGTTGACCTTTTTTTGATTTGTTTAAATGTAGGATAAATTCATCCAACACTTACAAGAACAAATCAATCGTCTTGCCCCATTGGAAGCTATCAGTACACAAAAAGACATTTTGATAAAACATTTACAAAATCAAATATCTCAAATGAATCATATTAATAAATTATTTCATCAATCAGGTAATTATGCACAAAATCTAACAGCTAGAAGTCAACAATTCCCATCTCAGCCAACATTACCATCTTTAATTGATAATAATTCACAAACGGATATAATACAACATACGTTTTCACCAACCAATCAAATTCCATATCACGTCCAACAACTACAGCAACCACCACAACAACCACAAGAGAATCATCCAATCAGAATACGGCCTGGTTCAACACCTTCACAAATTAAATTATGCACAAATAAATCAATTGATTCAAACAATTCTGATGTATTAGTCAATGATCAAGAGTGTAAAACTAATAGTAATAATGATGTAACTGATGTACAATTGCTAGAAAAAGTACGTAGAGAACGTCAAATCCTTAGTGGACTTGTAACACAACTACAAAAAGATTTATCCAATAAAGATATACAAATGTGTAGATTAAATAAAGAATTAAGTCAGATAAAAAATCAATTAGCTGAAAAAGATACAACCATTGATGCATTACATATGAAGGTAAGTACTGCTTACTAACAATATCAGTCGATGTACATGTATGACCCTATGACCCTTGTGCGTTGGTGGCACAGAGGTAGAATGCTCACTGACCACGCATGTGGTCCAGGGTTCGATGCCCGGCCACCAACGCACGCCTTTACCTCGCTAAGCCAGTAATACAAGTGATAAACAGGGAAGGTTGGGCATGAGGCTAACAACCCCATCCCATAGGAATTTTTTTGTTTATTCCTTCACGTTCCCAGTGGAACATAGGGCTTCAAGCTAGAGGCTTGAAGTTTCTGTAACAGTGTTTATTTTACAGGATGGGGTTGCTAGCCTCATGCCCAACCTTTCCTCTTCACCAGCTTCAATTCTGGCTCAACGAGGTAAAGGAGTGCGCCGGCCGGGGATCGAACCCCGGACCATGTGCGCGGGTGGCGAGCGTCCTAACCGCTATGCCACCGACGCACATCCCATAGGAATAGATACCACTATTACCGAAACATCAAGCCTCCAGCTTGAAGCCCCGTATGTTCCTTGTGGGAACGTATAAGAATAAAAAAGAAACACCCCAGAAGACAGAGAAGATTGGATGTGAGGCTAGGGATCCCACCACTACCGAAGCTCTGAAAAGCTTGAAGCGCTATGTTCCCTTTCGAAAGGTAAAGAAATTAATGAATAATAAAGAGACTACAAATTTCTAACCCTGATAGACTTCACGTGTAGTCGAATCACAGAATGAGTAATACTGAGGTTGGATGGAAAGTTCCAGGTAAAGAGGGCAGATAAATCGATAAGTCTAGGAATAGTTGTTGTCTTAGATTTTTTTGATTACAGCCTGATTCCACACCGTATTTTTCGGTACGGGTATGGAATTTTCAGCATGTAATATCGATAGCCCAAATTTTGCAGGCCGACCATAGATATCAGGAGTGCGTCGGCAGGGGATCGAACCCCGGACCAGGTACATGGTCGGCGAGAGTCCTAACCACTGTGCCACCGACACCACCATAACTGGAATTCTTATCATGAAACCTGAGATGTCGACCTTATTTGTAGGCCAAAGCGGCTTGAGTAATAATGCTTAAAGCCAGCTAATGTTGAGAAACGAGGATAGGGTTGGCTTATTCTGAAATCAGTGCAGCTACCTACAGTATTTAGCGCAAGGAAAATGATATCAATTTGAAACACTAATATCAATTCAGCCAGTGCCTCAATATGGCTTAGGGAATGAGCACGCTTACCACAAATAGTATTTCCAACAGGTACCGTAGACTCCCATCAACAACTACCTTCACTAGTTTGATAAGGAAGATTACATTGGCAGAAAGAATAAGCTGCAAGGAACTTTGGTGATGAACTTTAAGGAAATGTTTATGCATTGCATATATATATATATGTCCTGGTGCACATTGATTTGATTATATTAGATGACTGGAATTCAGTCTGCACCAAAGAAAGGACTAGGCACATCACACTAGTCAGCTACTAGTATCCAATATAGTCCTACAGGAGGCCAATCACGAGCCTGAATAGCTCAGTGGTAACATCTCTGACTGCAGGTGGCACTGGGTGATGCGAGTTCGAATCTCAGGATAGATATGAGTTCCCTCAAGGTTGCAGATATGCCTTGCTGACTGATGAGTGCCAACTAGCATGAAACCTGGGTCGAAGGCTTTTTGATGATTACCTCCAACCATCTAATACAATGGTTGCATTATTTATTGTTATTACTTTGCGTTCCGAGTGGAACATGGGAGGGCCTCATGATTTGAGCTTTAAATTTTCGCTAGCACTGGCGTTATCCTTTGTTTACAGGGTAAAGTTGCTAGCCACACGCCCAACCTTCCGTGTTTACCTGTCTTGCTGTCGGCTAAGCTACGTTTCGGAGTGCATCGCCTGGGGATCGAATCCTGGGTCGTTTAGGTGATTGATGAGCATTCTATTGCTGAACCAAAAGCGTAATGGGTCCATGCTATTCCAGCACCAGTGTTTGTTCTTTCTCTGCCCAAATCTTTCAAGAGGAACTGATGTATGAACTTTAATATTCGTCATATTACTGTATTCACTATTCATTGTATTTCATTTCCATTCAGTATAATAAATCTCAAGACAAAAGACAACAGAATAAAGAGAAAGAACAATTTGAAAAAGAAATTGATGATATACGTCAGGTTAGTTTAAAAGAAAATTTAATTCTACGCATTATTGATTTTTTATTCATCTTAGATAAAAACCGAATAGTTAGATTACATACTACTGAATGAAATTCAGTCATCAATGTACAATTTAATGGGACCGTCCATAGTTTAACGATTCCTAAAACAGGGTTAGGTGAACATAGAAAAAACAGAGGTGATGAAGATTCCTGGCCAACAGCAGCTGCAACAGCAACAACAACAGACAATAATCAGCATAAATGGGAAGAATCCGAAATAAGCAGCCTCCTTCACCTACCTACCCACCTGGGAAGCATCGTTTCAACTACAGGTGGACAGAACTTATGAGGACATCATCAAAGCGAGGATCGGGAAAGAAAGGCAAGCTTTCATTACTCTCAAGTCTGTGTGGAGATCAACAGCACTCATCATGAGAAATAAGATCCGGATTTTCAACTCCAATGTGAAGTCAGTGCTGCTATGCGGATTAGAGACTTGGCCAACGCGTGACGAAGGGCACTTAGAACAAACTACAAACCTTCATCAACAGCTGTCTTTGCTCAATACTCCGCGCAAGATCAGATGGCCGGCCAGAAACAGGGAGGGATCTCTGTGAGCGAACCAACCTAGCTGGAATCATTTTTGTAACAAATCTGCAGGAAGAAATGGATTTAGATTGGCCATACTCTGAGAAAACCATCAAGTGACATCCCTAGACAGGCCTTTGATTGGAACCCAAACGGGAAGTGGCAAGTTGGTCGTCAGTGTGAGAGTGACACTGAGGAGGTGGTGCTAGTGGGAGATGTCAGCATGTGGGCAGACGTAGAGTTCGGTAAAAATGTTTGCGGCAACCGAACGCAATGGGCATGTGCAGCTGAAGCCCTAAGTTCCTATAGGAATTAAAGGAAACAATAATAATAATAATAAAACAGGGTCATAATCTTTTTTGGCTGTTACAAGATAAACAAGAGAAAATTCTTTCTGATTTTGTTTTCTTGAAATCGGCTGTCAGATAGTGGAATTCTACTTAAATTATATTGTTCCCTTGGGTTCCGAATGGAAGAGAGGACTGGCTTCAACAACACATCTCCACTTTGTTCTATTTGTCGCTATCCTCTTCAGCTGGTTCCACGAGTGACCATAATCTTTCATCTCCTCCACGCATGATTTACTCCATGTCACCATTTGGATTCCACTCGAGCAATGGCCTGGCTCATGATGTAATTCGACGGTTTCCTCAATGTACGCCTTATCCATCTCAATTTTCCCCTGCATATTTTTTGGGTGGTCGGTTTTTGGTTGGTTTGTTCCCCAAAGTTTCTTGCTGCTAATTCTTCCTGGCCATTTGATTTTCACTGTGGAGTCAGCGAAGTGGGCAGCTGTTGATATAAGTCTGTAACTTATTGGAAATTATTTTGGTGAAGCTTTCGCCAAGTTTCTGACTCGTATAGAAGGACCAACTTCACATTTATGCTGAAAATACGAATCTTGTTCTTTATACCGGCTGAGTTAGTGTAGAAGATTTCCAAAGTGGTTTCAGGTTGATGAAGGCGTATCTTGCATCTCCGATTCAGACTGGCTTTGAAATCTTCATCCGTACCGTTTGCCTGTGGCTAAAACGATGCTTCCTGGCCAGATAAATGAAGGAAGTGACGTCTGTCAAATCTCTGTCGTTGTGGTTCATTAGTTATCTTCATCCCCTCTGTCTTCACTATGTTCGCCTACAGTCCTATCTCCGCTGACTGCCGTCTTCTCTAGCCAGTTTTGTTGGTTTTTGCCTGTAAGTCTTCGAGTTTGTGTGACATTAGACATATATCATCTGTGAAATCCAGATCTTCTAGAGTTTTCTCATCGGTCCAACGCATTCCTGTCTTCTCACTCCACACACACAGTTTGACGCATAATCCAGTCCACCACAATTAGGAATATCATTGGTGATAATGGGCAGCCGTATCTTACTCCTGTATTCACTTTCAACGCCTCGCTGATTTTCCTGTTGTGGATCATCTGACACGTGGCATTGTCGTATAACCATCTGTTGAATGAAGTTGATAAAGGCTTGGGTGCTGCACGCCTACTACTTATATGTTAATATAGTATGTTTTCTCTTAAAACAAGAACTATATTATACAGATCAATGGTCAGGGCGATCAGTTTAAAAGTATTCATAATAATGCTTAATGAGTTATGGAGAATGGAAGGTTCTTTTGATCTCCTGCATTTCTAATGGAACATAGGACTTCAGGATTTGGAATTTCAATGGAGGTGGTGTTAGTTTTTTTATGGAGTAGTGTTCCTAGCTTCGAGTTCAACGTTCTCTGTTCCTCAGGCCTGACTATCGTTTAGGTGAGATTTAGCGGTGTGTTGGCCTAGAAGGAAATCCGGACCTTATGTGTGGTAGGTGAACATTATAAACCTCTGTCGTAGTTTCACTGCTTTGGCGGATGCTCTAGTTTTTTATTGAAGTCGTTTGTTTCAGAATAATCAGGATTGAAATGTATGACATGAGCACCTCATTCTGCTTGAAACTTGTCATTTGGAAGGTACTTGGATACCTCTGAGTATCGAATGACACTCCACTTAATCGAAACAATCATGAATGGAAATGAAAACGAAATGCCAATAACATTTACATGCTAAACATCCCGAGTTCCTCATTGAAAGGCTTAAGATACGTAGTGAACAAATTTGTGTATTAATTATACCACTAAAAGGTGATATCTTTAATTTAAACCAATTTTTAACATAAATTGTGTCGTGCATAGTTACCTATTTCATAGTTGATAACAGTGGAATCCAGGACGCGTACTTCAGGAGTTGAGGTACATCCAGTTGAAGAGTTCAAGATAGGACAAAACATGGATTCGAAATTTCTCTGTTAGTAATCAAAAAACACATTATTTCAAGTTATTAATTATGATGACATCGAAGCATCCGTTCAAGGAATCGATATGCCACAATAAGGTCGATCAATTCTATCCAGATATACAAAGTAGAATTCACGCGTTATGCTTACCGCGTAAAATATCTTTCATTGAATTAGACAATTCAGTTATTTAATTTTAGAAAAAAACATTATCAGTAGTCGGCCTCTCCAAGATGACGATGTGCAGCAACTCTGTCTGTTCGATCATCGCCATCTCCGTTAAAAATTGGTTGCGTCCTATGGCATCATCGTGTGAGTATTTCTGAGCCCCGGCAGAGTGTGTTTGGAAACAGTGGAGATTAGCATTCATTGAGTGTTGTTATCTAGAAACACTAGCTTCGGTGGCTTGGACATGTGCTACGGATGTCATCCTAGAGGCTTGCCTGCCAGTGCCTGTTCGCTAACGATTTGATGGGATGGAAAAAGTGGATGGGTGTTCAGTTCATGACGTGGGGTCGTGAGATGAATGCAGTTACATTCAAATGACGAGTCCCAAATAGGACGAAATGCGCATCATGTATTCCACTGCTAGTCACCATCCACCAATTAAATTATGGGATATCACCAAGAATCGTAGTCGATGGCGAACATACTGCAGTTTCCTTGTTTCTTCCCTTTCTGACAGTTATACAACAAATGTTGTTTGATTTTGTCAAAAATATTTGCTTCCTTTCTGGATGAGGTCCTTTATTCACTTCCATTTTCTCTATATACTGTTGCTTTAGACGGTTGGAGGAGATCGGCAGGAAGCCAGGGACCTTGAGGGAACTTATGTCCCTTCTGAAATCCGAAACATCGTCACCCAGTGAGTACTGCACTCAGAGACGTTACCATTGAGCTACTCGGTCTCGCGAATGACCTCCTGTAGGACTGTATTTGATATTTCGTTTTGATTGGATACTAGTAACTAGTGCGACGTGTCTAGTCCTTTCTTTGGTGCAGACTGAATTCTATCAGTCAAGTTGTAATGTGGCCACCATTCTAGGTAGCTCGCCATCACGGTGCACATTGGTTAGATGGTTGGAGGCAATCGGCAGGAAGCCTTGGACGTCTCTGACTGCAGGTAGCACTGGGTGATGCGGGTTCGAATCTCGGAAGGGACATGAATTCCTTCAAGTTTGAAGATGCGCCTTGCTGACTGACTGGTGAGTGCCAACTAGCATGAAACCTAGTTCAAGTAGGGCTTCCTGCCGATTGCCTCCAACTATCTAATATCATCAAGACATCGCCAGAAAATATGTATTTTACATTTATGTAAATTCCTAAAATTCACTTTACATTGGAGTTACTGCTGAAGATGTTGTCCAGGGAAAAGAGAGTGAAAGCTTTACAATTGAACCGTTCATCTTAGTGAAAAAATCGGTAACGAAGGCGTCTTTTTTATTCCAGAAGGTTCTCTCTCCATTATATAATTTTGTTTCTTACATAATTCACATCAACTGATGAAAAAACACAGAATATTTTCTTATCTTGTAGAAATACAAAACTGCTGAATTACGTTGCCATTCTCTGCAAGATGAATTACAAAAATTAAAATCAGATTATGACAGACTGAATCATGAGGCTGAAAGTAAATCAAATAATGAAGGCAGACTACGTAAAGAGTTAGAAGAAACACAAATAAAGCTGACTGAACTAGAAAGAACAAATCGAATCAATTCACTTGATAAACATGAAGCTGTTAGTCAGGTGAGTGAAAAGCACATTTATTGCCTCACTAATAATGATTTTTGTTTCTATGATCTTAAAAGGTTAAAGAGATAAATGATAGTTAAACTTGTAGCACAGGTACCCAACGATTGTACTTTGCAGCTGTCGAAGTGAAATTGCCAAAAGGTGACTGCTCGTTGAATTACTTGTTCCAGCGACTTTTAAGTTAGATATTATAATTCCGAAATATTCCATATTATTTTTTTTATTAGATGTATCACACAGTGAGTGGAAAAGTATTATTTGTTGGACGACACAGTTTCGAACACAATCTATTATTCAAGTGTTGGTTTGTAGGGATTTGATTGGTTACAGGATTTTCATCATGAGCTGACATTAGTTAGAGAACCATTGGAAAACCCTACAAACCAACACTTGAATAACAATGAGATGCTCACTAGTGACTTGCCCTATTCAGGTAGGTAGTTGCCTGGGGTTCTAGTGAGAAGTCGTGACCAGTAGGGTGCAGCAGGTCGGGCGTGAGGACAAATACTCGCCGAAGACATTGGCTAGGGGTCGCGCTATGTCGTGAATTGGCAGAAGTTAGAATTCATGGACCATTGGATCGGGTCCCAGTGGCTTAATGGTATACGAGCTCGCCTTGTAACCAGAAGGTCCTGGGTTCGAATCCCGGTGGGTGTGTACTGCTGAAGAGTCCCAAACTAGGACTAAACAGCTGTCCAGTACTCCCAGGTTTTCCAGTGGTTCTCTAACTAATGTCAGCTCATGATGAAAATCCTGTAAACAATCTATTATTGTTCATAGTCATATCAGTTATAATCATACGACTTCGAAAATTGGGTTTTATAGTTATTCTTTGCTATTTGTCTCAGGACATCTAGACAGGTGTTGAATCATTCCTATTACACATATTTGTAGTTGATTCGATAAACAAAGCTTCTGTTATCAATCTCTCCCTATACCCTGTGACATTAGATTTTAAAACTGTCATCCTATCCCATCCTATTGTATGGTTGTGTGTAATTGTATGTAGTGTGTAGTGCTATATCTGAAATATTCTCCAGATTTCTCATCTTATTCGGGTCAACCAATCTAGATTTTCCTAGGTTTTTGTGCTCTGCCAGTCTGACTGCCCCTGTTCTGCTACTTTGACCTATGTATCTGACCTAACAGTCATTGCAGACAGGGTATTAGATAAACTAAATTGTTTTGTTTTATTTGCTCCAAAGGATTGACTCTTTAACCGACAAAGCTTGTTTCTAATTGAGTTTATGTGGGGGTTGGAATGCCAGCCACTTTTATTCCTGCATTGATAAGAATTCTCTGTAAGGTCTGTTTGTCCTTCTTGACAATATTGTCTAGGCCACGTAGGCAGGTGTAGCCCTCCTGACTGGTTGGGGTCCTTGGTACGGTAAGAACCAATGGTTGGAAACAATTGGTGACATGGCTCAAAATCGTTCTCAATGGCTGGCGCAGATGCATCCACTCCTTGTGACTCATGATTTCCAATTAAACTGTTTTGTTCTTCGTTATTACTATTCCTTTGTCTCCCACCTCTGTTTACTGTCTCTATTATGCATTTCTTCTACTTTCTTCTCTTCCCCTGTATGCTACATGGAGTGTGGCGACTTGAACTGCCGCACATATGTGCAAAGTTCTATGTCGAAAACAGACAGACAATATCGTCAGCGCATGCTGTAATTTAAAGTAAACTTATTTGAATTCTTCATGGATGATATTTATTCCGTATACATGAACTCAGTATCCTCATCAAGTTGGGTGTAGTGAGCATCCATTTCTGCCTATTTTCTTCATCCATCCGGCTGTAATCATACACGTACATGGACTTGAATGCAGTTGGAGTGTACACATGTGTTTCAGAAGTACCGGTATTCTCCTCCCATCTGTAGCCAGCCACAACTTACCATTATGTCGTCTGTTCGAGTTTATTGTCAACTTGATGATGAAAGTTACCAGGTTAGCTAGAGTCTCTCGTCACTCACCTAACCATGGCCGGAGAAATATCATAATAATGATTGGTTATTTTACTTTATTAATAGATTTTCTGACTTCTCATACATATCACATTCAAACTACTCACCGTCATTTCCATTCATACTTCAACTTTAGAACCTTTAGCCTGACCGGGTTATTTTCAAACTGAATGTGTGATACAAACTTCCGTTTCTTATATTTTTCTTTTGGATTCTGGTCAATATTTTTTTCTTATTTCTTGGTAGCGTGCTTCTTTGGTTCCGAGGAAGAATATAATTTTGCCACAAGGAGGGTCTTGTTTCAACTGCTGGCCGTTACACTGTAAAATCCCGCCCAGTTTACTAACCAGTAATACGATGGGAAACGCGGGGAGGTAGAATATAAGCCTAACAACTTTACCTTCAGAAAACAACACTACCTCCATGGAGATTTCAAAGGTCAAGACTGAAGCGGTGGTGTTTATGCTTTACAGAGTGAGGTTGATAGCGTTATGCCCAACCTTCCATCTTTACCGGTCTAAATACTCATGAAGAGAGGTTTCGGTCTCAGTCGGTAGGGAATCCAGCTAGGACAATGTAAGTCGTTGGCGAGCATTCTGCCACTGAACCGCCAATACACAATCATGTATAAGCGGTGGTGTTTATAACTTACAATGAGTTTGAAAGCTCCAAGAATCGACAGTGATTCCTTTACCTGCCCTATTAGACTGATAATACTATATAAAATCAACTAGGCTGTATATTCGTGTATTTATATTAAATGGGTGGGAAAGTTCCAGAATAATTTCCGGTCAGGGGTCAAATGAATAAAATTACAATTAGGAATTAGAATGCCATAATAAACACGGGGATGGGTAAAACTCAAACAAAGTAGCATAATAACTAAGAGGATTGACATTACGCAATTGGGGGTTAGAAATGTAAAAATAACAAAATATACAGGATGTTTGGATAAAAAACTAGTGTGATGAATAATTGTTTATGCAATCAGGGATTAAATATGTAGAAATAGTAACATGACAAAATAAACAGGAAGTGTGGAAATGAAAATATGGTAGTGTAGACAGGGATTAAGAAAACGTCCATCTGACAAGAAATGACAACAACTCTCTGAAAAGGTTCATAGACAAAAAGCCTACATGGACTGGACAATTAATCAACTTTCAAAGCTTCGTGCTGCTGAGCAGAAAGATGAACCTCAAAGACGCTCTTTCCTCGAGGATCCGAAAGATATGCAGCTAGGAAGTGACTGGCGAATAACTGCGTAATCTTCGAGGAACCCTGATGGAAAATGGTTTTCCGCCCAGTTTCATAGACAAGAATCTCAAATCAAAGAAGACTTCCGAACAAGTCCAATCCGTTCCAAAGAAAATACTTCTGCTTAATCTAGAATTCAAAGGTGGTATTGAAGCAGAAATCCTTCGCAAACGCCTCTCCAAATCGCTGAGGAAAACATACTTCGCCGCAAGCCTACGACTGACGTTTACCTGCAAGAAATTGTTCAACCAGAACGCGAAAGACAAGCTGTCGCGTTGGGCCACATCAACGTGCATATACCAGTTTACTTGCTCTTGTGGAGCTGAGTACATTGGCCGTACCATGCGCCGACTTGGAAAACGCGCTCGTGAGCACTACCCAGCCTGGCTAGTAAAAGGAGACTATAAACGTGTATACAGTTCAGTGACAGAACATCTGGTCAACTCAGGATACTCAGCGCCTTTCGAAAAATCCTTCAAAATAATATACAAGATTCAATCAAACCTATCAAAGGGAGTGAAATCAAGACATTTGGGCATAGCTGAGGCGTTAGCTATCCAAAAACTCAAACCCACTCTTTGTATCCAAAAGAAATACGTCCAACCCCTGTCCCTGCCATGGCTGTCATAAACAGGTAGATTTTTTAATAATGACCATCCCATCGCCTTTCTTATCTAAACTTCCTGTTTATTCATGTTATTTTAAGTTTTCTTAATCCCTGTTTACTTTTCGACAAAGTCATCATCTAGGCTGTACATTCGTGTATTTATATCAAATGGATGGGAAAGTTCCAGAATAATTTCCGGTTAAGGGTCAAATTAATAAAAATTACAATTAGGAATTAGAATTCTAGATTAAGCAGAAGTATTTTCTTTGGAACGGATTGGACTTGTTCGGAAGTCTTCTTTGATTTGAGATTCTTGTCTATGAAACTGGGCGGAAAACCATTTTCCATCAGGGTCCCTCGAAGATTACGCAGTTATTCGCCAGTCACTTCCTAGCTGCATATCTTTCGGATCCTCGAGGAAAGAGCGTCTTTGAGGTTCATCTTTCTGCTCAGCAGCACGAAGCTTTGAAATTTAATGAATTGTTATTTCAACATTTTTAACAACTAATTGCATAATTTGTCAATCTACCCAGTAATTTTGACTCTACTTTTTTTGAGATTATCCGTCCCTCCCCCTGTTTATTATGGCATTCTAATTCCTAATTGTAATTTTTATTAATTTGACCCTTAACCGGAAATTATTCTGGAACTTTCCCGCCAATTTATTATAAATACACGAATGTACAGCCTAGTGGATGACTTCGTCGAACAGCAATGTCACTCTGATGGAAACAACTATTTCGAATTCATTCGGACTATCAATGGAATCCAGAATGCGAACTTCATCCTATATAGGGCTTGTTATCTGGGTGTACCCACATCCCCAGGGAGTGGTGGTGTTCCGATTGTCACTTAAATCGACCACCTATTGTTTCAGACATCAAGTATAAATCAACCAAATGAGGAATACAAAATAAATTAATAAAAATATGATTACTGGACATTATTTGGTCCTCATAGTCCAAATATCTTAGTGAATAACGCTTTGGCATTTAAAACGATGGCGACTGGGTTCGCCTCCCAGCGCAAACACGATCCTTGGTGAACGACGTAAGTACATCCATCTGATGACTCCTAATTAGGAAGAACTGTACATCTTGGGTTCCATTTCTAATCAACCTCAACAGAATAACATTATATTCACTACCAAACAGGCATCTTCGAAGCGTCTTCACTAAGAGCCGATGTGTTACGGGTGATAAGGCATTTCGGTCGAAGATAAATCAATCGATGAAAAATACGAAATAAATTGAACGAACCACCTTGATTATATTCATGCTGAAATACCTACTGGTTAATTCTGTGTCTTTTTTATTTTTCAAAACATTTTATTAGTGTGAACGATTACGTACGCGCGTAATGCGTATTGTATTCGGTGTACTATCTGCAGATCACCATTGTATTGATACCAAAATAGCAACAATAAAAAATGATGATACATCCAAGTCAAAAGAACAAACCAGTGCCAGTCAAAAATCAACATCATCCGACAAATCGTCAGTATCTTCATCAGTTCACAATACAGATGATGATGACAATGATAAGACATTAATTGTACAAGATGTAAATAATACATGTCATGATGGCAGTCATGATGAACAATTATTGGATCGTGTACAATACCTGGCTGATGATTATAAACGTCTACAGCATGAAATACAAGCGAATACATTGGAGGAGAATAAACGTAAAGAAAAGGATAAAGGACTTGAAAAAGAATTGGAAAAATTCATTTCAGTTTATACTGAAGCTCAGGTATATGCATTGATTGACACGCTTGATTCACTTTATGTATTTGCCTATTCGCCTTTGTTTTTGAGTTAGATCATGAAGTGATATCAGTTAGAGTATCGGTGGAGATCTGATAGTAATGGACAACTGTTTCGTCCTAGCTTTGGACTCTTCAGAAGTATGCAGTCATGACGTCAAAGGAAAGTCGAATCCAGAACTGCATTCAGTTTGTCGTCTAGCATAGGACTTCATGTCTTCTAAATTTCAGTGGATGTTGCTTTATTTTCACAGAATGTGTTTGCTAGTCACACATGCAACCTTTCCTTTTTCTCCAGACTTACTATTAGCTAACAGACTGGGTGAGGTTCAAGAGTTTTTTTGATTGAACACTAGTCAGTAACTAGTATGAGGTGTCTATTCCTGTCTTTAGTGCTGACTGAATTCTCTCAGTCAGGTAGCTCGTCATCACGGTTTACTTTGAATTTTTGAAGTTAGATGGTTGGAGGCAGTCGGCTACAGGAAGCCTCAGCTGTACCTAGGTTTCGTGCTAGTTGGCACTCACCAGTCAGTCATCAAGGCGTATCTACAGCTTTCAAGGAACTCATGTCCCTTCTAAAATTGGAACCTGCGTCACCCACTGATTGCTGCTGTAAGAGATGTTACCAATGAGCTGTTTGGGCTGGCCCAAGACTGACTTCTTTCAGGACTGTATTTAATATTTTTTATGATTGGACACTAGTTAGTAACCAGCGCTCTGTGTCTAGTCCTATGTTTGGTGCAGAGTGCCTGGATGGTGACCATTCTACCAGTGAACCACCGATTCACTGGTGTGGCGAGGTGATTTTGAAACCTCGACTTAGGGAAGTACACTTAATGATATGCAGAATGGAAAGCCTGGATGTTTTGCTTTGTGTAGTGGTCAAAATACTATTTTTGAACTGCTCTGCTGAGAATATCATGTGATGATGGGTCATACAGCTCAATTGGTGGATTACTGAGCTAGTAGTCTGTAGATCGCTGTTTCGAAACCAGGTACTGACTTCATCATCAGCAATTACTCATTATAGCAATAGTCGAAAATCTAAAGATACTTTAAAGTCTTTTAAGTTTCCCCTTAACAATAAGAACACAATATTTAGCGGAGAGTCAATTTCCAGGCTGTACAATCTTATAAACCTGTAATTTGTTGAAAACTATTTTTTTTGAGAAAATTTAACCAATAGGCGTGAAAACTACCACTGATACCGATAAAAATATTAACACTAATTGTGACAAATTATTTACGATTAGAATCATAGTTGAATATGAAGCGATAAATCATTTTGTGCAATACATAAAATCGTACAAAGAATTTATCTTGTTTCAAGGTCAAGTGGTGCAATTTCACGTCGCCGGTGGAATTCCATTTTCCAGGAGATTTCAAATGCAAATACACGAAAAAGAGGTGAAAATATCTTCAGGGATTCCCATCACTAACTGATACAGCATACCGCCCTTCTTTACGGCTGTGAGACACAGCCTTTGACCATAAGTGTCTGTGGTCAGTTTGTTGTAATAGATGGTAGCGCTTTGCATAACGATTCATCCTTGTCGTTGAGCAATAATAACTGACATAGGATTAGGTGGGGAGAGAGAATTATGAATGGGCACAAATCCATAAAGACTGTTACCGTTAGTTTGAGCCATGTAGAAGAGTACAGACTATCTGGCTGAGGTTATCGGGGTGCTAAGAATCAGTGGGTAGGTTTTGACGTTGATAAGACTCAAAATCTTTCTCAGTGGAGTAAATGTGTTCCCTTCTTGTAATGTTATAGAATCTGGAATGCTTGATTGTTCCATATAGAACTATTTCTCTTCCTTACACTTATTTGTGGTTTCATGAGGTGAAGCAACTGGTACTACTTCACTTTCTTTGTAAAGCTCTGAGCTGGTAACTCAAAATAATAGTAACTGAGACAGACGAAGGATTCCAGCCAACAATATAATTGTGTGAAATCCGTTGATTCTGATCCATTAGATAAGTACAATAGTTTATGTATGATGTTGCAGAGCTTTTGTTTATACCTTGTAGAATGGTGGACAATGTTTCCTACAGCGTAAACTTTAACTCGAACAAAAACGTTGGCGTAATATTCTGTTTTTATTCGTCATTTAACTAATCGCATTTGTGAGCCAACCATTTATTTCACCTCCTTTCTTTAATTATTGCCTATTAATTGAAAATTATTTCGAGATAGAGCAAGAACTTGTATTATCTGGAGAATCATTCAAAGCCATGGAGTAACAGACAACTGATTCGTTTTAGTTTGTGACTCTTCAGCAGCACTCACCTGACATCCCACCAGAAGAGATCTAATCGAGCATCTTCAGGCTGCAAGGCGAGACCGCTAACTTTTCAGCCAATGGGATTAAATTCAGTGGCCCACCAGTTTCTCCTTCTGAAAATTAACGATATACACTACCACAGTTGGCGTATTTCATCGGCGAGTATCTGTCCTGCAAACCAACACTTGAAAATTAATCTAATACTCAGCTCAGTGGTAACGTCTGTGACTGCAGCACTGGGTTCGAATCTCAGAAGGGACATGAGTTCCTTCAAGGTAGCAGATACGCCTTGCTGAAGAGTGCCAACTAACACGAAACCTAAATCCAAGGCTTCCTGCCGATTGCCTCCAACTATCTAATATCATCAAATCAATGTGCACCGTGATGGCGAGCTACCTACAATGGTGGCCACATTGCAAACCTGACTGGTAGAATTCAGTCTGCACCAAAGAAAGGACTAGACACGTCACGCTGGTTACAAGAGTCCAATCAAAATAATCTAATACTCATTAGCGACTTACTGCAGGATGAAATAGCTTCAAACTGAAGTGGGACTTCATGACCACAGGGACTAACCAAGTTAGGTTTGAAGAAAAATACTCGTTGGTGATTTTTTTTATTACAGCTTGATGCCACACCGTATTTTCAGTACAAGTATGGAATTTTCAGCATGTAATATCGATAGCCCAAATTTTGCAGGCCGACCATAGATATCGGGTGTGCGTCGGCAGGGGATCGAACCCCGGACCATGTGCATGGTCGGTGAGAGTCCTAACCACTGTGCCACCGACGCACAAGTTGTTGAATTTTGTCTCAGCGGCTGAATGGTCAGCGGGCTCACTTGGCAAGGTCTTGGGTTCGGTCTCTAACAGTGCGATGATGAGTAATGCCAAAGACTTGAGAACTAAGACGTAACAACTATTCAGTACCCTCTGGTTTTCACCGGCTCTTCGGTTAAGGTCATTTCGTGATCTGACGTGAAATAAATCCAATCCCTATATCCCAACATTTGACAATAACTACTTTTTTACCCTTTGTATTCTAGGAACATATGAAAGATACTCCAAGATTTCGTTCTTCATTAAGACTGAAACAAGAAATTGAATTGTTAGCTGCATATGTTCCACCTAGTGATATTATTAAAAAACTTCAACGTATCTTGTTGGATGATTTACAAGATCAAGTGAATACACAACAACGGTTAGAAGATTGTACACAAGAAGCTGTTGGAACAATTCAGTCACAAAATTCAGGTAAGTTGGCGATACTTCTTTTTATTGATAAGAGATATTTCTATCATTTTGATGTCATTTATATCACTCTACCTTATGAGAAACAATTTGTCGTTATTATTATAATTATTTTTATTCCTTTGCAGAGTTTTCTGAACATCTTTAGCTGCAATCTGCGACTGTTTGGCATGCGATTCGCTCCCGCCAAATGTAAGGTGATGCCACAGAACTGAACTACATTGACTCACTCCTAGTTTAGAAATACGGAGTGAAGTGGTAATGCGCGTTGACCGCTTCACTTATTTCACTTATTAATAAAGCAAAAAAAATTATTATTATATTATTGTATCAGCCAACGCCAGCGGGTTGATTACTGACGTGATCTCAGCACGGATACAGAAGGTTCGTTTCGTATATGCCAGCTTACGCCATCTCTGGCGTAGACGTGATATCCGACTGCCGATCAAAGGGTGGGTGTAGGGCTCAGCAGCCCGCTCCGTCCTCCTTTATGGGTGTGAGTGAGACCTGGCAATTGAAAGCGGAAGACACGGAAAGCCTGGCTAACTGTCTTTGATAATAGGTGTCTGCGTTCTCTCTCTCTCGTGTTAAGTGATATAATAGAGTGAGCAATATTGAGGTTAAGCTTCAGTCGAGTGCTACATAAGGAGGGGAAATCAATCGATGAGGCTTTGAAGTTACATCGACTGAGATGGTTAGGACATGTGTTAAGCATGCGCGCCTAGTCATTGCCTTTCTCGACGAACAATGTTAGCTGACAGAGGATGGATCTGGCTGGAAAAGAGCCAGTGGTGGTCAGACGAAAACATGGCCTCATGAGTCAATGAAATCCACAACAGTTAGTGTAGGCCAGCCACGTAGGAAGGTGTTGAGTGCCTTGCTGACTGGTTGAGGTTGTTGGAACGGTAAACACCAATGGCTAGAGACAATTGGTGATATGGCTCAAAATCGTTCTCGATGGCTGACGCAGATGCATTCACTTCTTGTGACTTATAATATCCAATAAAATTCTATTGTTCTTCGATATTACTATTCTTTTTGCCTTATATCTTTGTTTACTGTCTCTATTTTGCATTTCTTTTCACTTTCTTCTCTTGCTTTTTTGTACCAATTGGATTGAGTGTGGCAACTCGAACTGCTGCACATAGGTGCAGAGTAGTTCTATGTTAAAACCAGTCAGTCAGTCAGTTTGCGTTCCGGTTGGAACAGAGGGATTCAGGTTTGAATTTTGAAGTTTCAATGGCTGCAGCGTTTAATTTTTTACGGGGCAGGGTTGCTAGTTTCACGCTCTATGTTCCATCTTCTTTGGGTTTAATACTGGCTAGGCGAGCTTTAGGAGTGCATCAACCGGGGATCAAGCCTCGGGCTGGGTGAGTAGTTAACGAGTATTCTAACAGTGTAATACTGACGTACCGTAAGAAACAAACTTATATTTAAAGTTTTGTGTCCCTGACATGGATAATTAATGCCTAAGTAACATAGCATTATGTTTAAGATAATAACTGCTTATGGGGATTATAACAGTAGTTGTTTCAATTATTCTCTGAAGTTTTAATTGTTTGATCGAATCACGTAGGGCGGTGTGAACTGCCTACTTGAGGTACCTGAGACTCTAAGAACCAATGAATCAAGACAACTAACGATGATATCATTGATATAAGAATAAAACTTGTGCACTGTGGTAGAGTATAATTCCATTATGGGTAAAATTTGTTATGATAAAGTAAGTACAGTAATGCTTACTGATGACGTTTCGAGCACAATTTATCGCTCATAATCATATCAAGGTACTCACACAACTTTCTAACTTCGTTTATATAATTCCATCATTATTTTTCATCTCTTGATTTGATTGGTAGTAGTATTTTCCATATTTCCGGTATGAGTGATGAGTCACTCATATTGCACGTGTTGAGTGTAGACTCTATGAACAAAGATTCAGTATTCAACCTCTCTTTTCACATACCCACATTACCTTTTAGAATTATAACCCTCTCCCACCCTATTGTGTGGTTGTGTCTTAATGCATGCAGTGGAACTGCTGAGCTTTTTTCTAAATTACTTATCTTCTCGGGGTGAACCATTCTTGTCTTAGCTAAATTCTTATGTTCCGACGATCTCACTACACCTGATCTACTAGTCTGACCTATGTAGTTGACCTAGCTCACAGTCATTGCCAGGTATTTTGTAGATTATGTTATTTCATTTAATTGGGTCCACCAGGTTTTTTAGCCTATAAAGCTTGTCTCTGAGTGAGTTTGTAGGTTTAAATACCATCCTAATTGCTGCTATATTGAGAATCCTACGTCGGGAGGGTCTCAGATGTCCCCTCCTTATATGGTATAACAGTGGATGACTTATGTTCTCTCTTATTTATGTTTTCATTACTAGTTTCACAATTATGTTTATTTTGCTTTTGGTCTTTACTGATCTTCCTAATGAATTTTAGAGGATAGTTATACAACACCATTGCCTCCTCTATCTGTTTTATTTCATCATTTAGGTCTTTTCTTGACGGTGATATCAGTGAAAATCATTGTCACTCCTTTTTATCTTCTAGATCAATTAAATTCTTATTATTTTCCTTGTAAATTTTCTTTCTTTAACAACTTATTATTGATTCTCTTGAAATTCTTTTCCCTGCATTTATGTCTGCTTTTCTAAAGTGTGTCAAATTGAAGAGCTGCAGTCACGTACAAAGTTCCTGCTTTTACGGACTCAATTCAGTTCAGATGAAGTATTCTACATTTTCTTTTACTTTATAAAGTGCTTAAAATTTTCAGCTGAATATTTTACTAGAAATAGATATAAATAAAGGTTTCCTAAAAGGAATTCACTGAAACTCCAAAGTTACTTAATTTCGGTTTAACTGTTGCACAAACTTATGCGCATTATTCACCTTTAAATGTCATATACTTTCTAGTGATATCCTGAGGTGTCAACTGGTTCAAAAGTAACAACCTCAGAACCACACCCAGCTCGTTTTCTTCCACTGTATTCCAATTGAAAGTCTGCCTAGGGTTTGATGTAAGTCAAGAGTCTGCTCAGCGTGTGCCCAAGCAATCTTCATTTACCTCTGCATATTTGTTGGTTGATTTGTTACACTTCAGAGCTCTTTGTTGCCTATCCTCACTGGTAGTCTTATCTTCAGGATATAGCGAAGGTAGCTGTTGATGAGTGTTTGCAGCAGCCTGTTGGAAATGGCTTTTTATGATGCGTGCGCAAAGTCTTGGCATTTTAGTTGAAAATACAGACTGTTTTTCTTAGGCTGTGTACAGAAGTTCACCACACTGACTACAGAATAATGAATTTCTGCTTCGGTTATTCGATTTTCATTTGTGCTAGTTGTATTCGAAAGAGTGTTACTTGGGTATTTGAGAGATATAACTTCAGATAAAGCAAAAAGAAGACGCAATTTGTCTCAATCGTGTAATGTATTTGCGCAACACATTTCGAGCCATCTGATCACGAGATATTTCCTTCAACCGACCAGCAAGTCAGCTATGCTACTTCTTCACTCTGAAAAGAAGGGATTAGAAAAAGTCAGCCACTTAAATTGTACACCCCGACTCACCCTGAGGTGGCCCGTAACCTGTAGTAAGATCTTCATATAGAAACTTCGATTTCAAGAAGGGATTAACTCCCACAAGATGGGCAGCTTGAGTGTAATAACTACCTACACATTTGCATAAACCCACAAATCAAACTCTACACTTCAGATAACATTACAATATCATTATATATAAACATAATCATAATAGGAATTGACCCGTTATTCTGACCGGAAACAAGCTTAAAATTATATAGAAGCAATAAGGGTATACAAACATACATATGTATATATCCTGTGGAAAATTTCAAAACATCAAATAAGTTCATGATATGCTTCCAAATGAAATTGAAATAACTTTTGAGGTCATCAATTTCAAGTCTTATTACAATTACCTAAAACTTTCTTAATCACTAGTGTCTTTTAATAATTTCTCCTTATTTTACTTCTTAAACAAATTTGCGTTTATTACTTGCTGTTATCACCTTTTTTTGATGTTATGATTTACTTGAAAACAGCAGGATTGTACTTTATAGGAAAGTTAATTCGTTAGCCTCAAGTATCATCTAGGTTACAACCTTATGCGATATACTACTGAAAATAATTTCAATAGTACATACCATCATGCTGTTTTGATTGCTTTCTTGCAATTGACATTTTACGGGTAGCGAGCAAATCACATATTCTGATCTGAATCACTTTTGATTTTCAAAGGAAATTGTGACGAATTTTTAGCTTTGAACTGGAGAATTCTCATAACCTTAATTATAATTTCATTCGTTGTCAATTCACCAAAGTAACTGTCCATTTTTATCACATTCTATTGTCGTAGATGACGCTCAAATGTCCAGTAATGTACTAGTCTAATTCAGGGGGTTTAAGGTGATTTGGTGGTTTCTAGCTACGTGAATATGACTTGCTTGAACTGATTCAATGATATGATTCGTATAATAAAGACAGTACGGTGGTCGGAAATCAATCGAATATTACCTACCTTGATATCAGTATCTCTTCCAATATCACGTTGGCTTCTAACAAAAATATGTTTCTTTTGGCTTATTACATAAGCAAGTGGAGACTTCTTGCATAAATCGACCTCCACCTCCCTTATAATTTATTAACTCATATATTCTACCGACTCTTCTTTATTGCTTTCTCTTATTCCTCCGTTAACTTTTCGAATAGGACTGGTGTATATTATGTAGAATTTTGATGTCTGTAAGAAGGGTTAGTGGTGTACCTTTTACCTGTCTAACTTACATTACTGTTGACCGGCGTTTTAATTCTTGCAATCAGTTAGCTAGAGGCATCTTATTGGATACTGAATATCCTGTCTATTTTGCAATTTATCCATGTATCTGATCAAGGTAAAACGAGAAGAAAATACACAAGAGTGTATGCTCCTACAATGTAGAAGTTCAGCGATGTTATGTTTAGAAAGGATGTTGTATCA